TCGTCTAAATATATCTAGCAAGCCAATTGGTTATGAGGCACGATTTAAGCAGAGACTCACTCCATAAATGGAATAAAGCCCAGGGACCCTTGCATAACTGGGGTAGAAAGATAACCTGGCGGATTAAAGATTTGAAATGTGAGGATTAATTAAACAAGCTTACAGCATTACCGTATTTCAAGAACAACCTATAAGAACGGTGTCGGTACTCACCACAAATACTCAAATTGTGTTATTCATGGAAAAATTTCTATTTTTATTGCCTATCTTTGTAATTTCAAAAGATTTTATCAAGATTTAAAGAGTTTGCGATAATTTTCAAGGATTGTCAAGCTTATTAGCATCATATTCTATCAAACGTGATTAATCCATAATTGTATGTTAATGACGGTAATCTTGCGTTAATCATGCGTTAATCTTGCGTTAAGATGTAATATTAAATCAAAAATGGGTTTTATAAAACAGTTTTCGATTTACTTCGAATAGTAATTTTTACCGACTATTAAAAACGTTTTGATTATTTACATTAATTAAGACTTAACTCTTAATTAACGTCCCGATAAATCAAGATTTGTTTAAATTTGACACACAACATCAGATTAATTAAGGCATAGTTCTATACTTTTTCTATTAGTGTCGTAATTATCATTGCAAGCGGTCGCTAATCAATCGTAGTAGTAATTAAATATTCTGAAAGTGATCGATAATTAAATAATAATCTTTAACAAAACATTAACATCATGTTTAATCAAAAATTAATCTTATTAAATCATGATTATTTGTCAAGCTTATTAGCATCATATTCCATCATCAAACGCTAANTTTTGATTAGTGCTAAATTTGTTGATTAATGCCAATATGATATTGTTTATTGCCAATTTGATATTGACAAATGCCATTTTAATTTTGATTATTGTCAATTTGATTTTGACTAATGCCAATTTGAAATTGACATTGCCAATATGATTTTGACTAATGTCATTTTGATTCTGATTAGTTCCAATTTGTGCTTGAAAAGGTATAGAAACATTCGGGTTTAGCCGCATGTCTCTTAAGACGGCTAAACCCGAATGATGCTAGTTCTAGGTCTTGTATTAGTTCTAGTAATAGCAATAGTATAAAACTAGAACTAACACTAGACCTAGAACTAGAAACATTCGGGTTTAGCCGCACGTCTCTTAAGACGGCTAAACCCGAATGATTCTAGTTCAAGGTCTTGTGTTAGTTCTAGTAATAGCGCTAGTATAAAACTAGAACTAACACTAGAAACCTAGAACTAGAAAATATCGGGTTTAGCTGCACGTATTTTTGTACAGAGTGGGCCAAATTAGACACTTTTAAAAGAAAACTCCTCTTTCTAGAAGAGATAGAGGAAAAATGATATCACTGTCTGATTTTTATAAGAAACTTAATGGCGAAAACCGCATATCGATATCTCTTACGGTTTCAGAGATACAGGATGTTTTTTGAAAAAGTGCATTTTCGAAAAGTCGTCCTAACTTTTTTTTTATTGAGAAATCTTCCTTTCTATGAAAACATTCCCAAACCAACTTTTTATGCAGAATTCGATGGAATAAGTTAGCTTTTCCTCAAAGCAATATTATAGTAGTTATTGACATAAAAATTAATTTTTTAAATGGACCACTCTATATATTTTTGCAAATTCGACGAGAGCATAAAATTTCGTAGTACACTTGATATCTCGTTCAAGTCTTCTTTGAAACATACAACTTTAAAACTTATATGTGCACATTTTGAAAAAGTATTCTTTGGAAATAAAACAAAAACGAGGTTATATTTATAAGTAGTATCAAGATAGTTGGTTCGTCACATTTTCCCAAAAATTCATGCGCAGTTCAAAATCTCCTAGTCTGAGATAATGGACTTTGCTAGTATTTCTGAAACCGTAAGAAATATCGATATGCGGTATTCGCCATTAAGTTTCTTATAAAAATCGAACCTCAGACACTGATATCATTTTTCCTCTATCTTTTATACAGAGGGGAGTCTCCCTTTAAAAGTGTCCACTGTACAAAAAGAATGAAAAAAACAGTATCAACTCTTATTTCATTGCATCAATTGATGATCAAGACATATTAAGTGTTATCTCGAAGCTGAAACAGGTAAACAGTGAAGACAAAATATTGATTGATTTCTTATATTGTGAAAAAAGTTGACAGCGAAATTGCTCCAGCACTAGCTATAATTTTCAAAAAATGTGCTGAGGAAGGAACTTTTCCTGCTAAACTGAAGATTGCAAAAGTCACTCCTATATATAAAATAGAGGATGATCACAAATACGAAAACTACAAGTCCATAGCCCACCTGCCACTTTTTTCTAAGATTCTTGAAGTGCTTTAGTGCAATAAGGATATGCAACATAGTGTTGTATTTTATGCTAACTAGCACTACCTACCACTGTCACCAGAATTAACATTAGACCTAGAACTAGAAGCATTCGGGTTTAGCCGCACGTCTCTTAAGACGGCTAAACCCGAATGATTCTAGTTCTTGGTCTTGTGTTAGTTGTAGTAATAGCGTTAGTTTAAAACTAGAACTAACACTAGATCTAGAAGTAGAACTAGAAACATTAGGGTTTAGCCGCACGTCTCTTAAGACGGCTAAACCCGAATGATTCTAGTTCTTGGTCTTGTGTTAGTTTTAGTAATACAGCTAGTGTAAAACTAGAACTAACACTAGATCTAGAACTAGAAACATTCGGGTTTAGCCGCACGTCTCTTAAGACGGCTAAACCCGAATGATTCTAGTTCTTGGTCTTGTGTTAGTTGTAGTAATAGCGTTAGTTTAAAACTAGAACTAACACTAGATCTAGAAGTAGAACTAGAAACATTAGGGTTTAGCCGCACGTCTCTTAAGACGGCTAAACCCGAATGATTCTAGTTCTTGGTCTTGTGTTAGTTTTAGTAATACAGCTAGTGTAAAACTAGAACTAACACTAGATCTAGAACTAGAAACATTCGGGTTTAGCCGCACGTCTCTTAAGACGGCTAAACCCGAATGATTCTAGTTCTTGGTCTTGTGTTAGTTGTAGTAATAGCGTTAGTTTAAAACTAGAACTAACACTAGATCTAGAAGTAGAACTAGAAACATTAGGGTTTAGCCGCACGTCTCTTAAGACGGCTAAACCCGAATGATTCTAGTTCTTGGTCTTGTGTTAGTTCTAGTGATAGTGCTAGTGTAAAACTAGAACTAACACTAGATCTAGAACTAAAAACATTCGAGTTTAGCCGCACGTCTCTTAAGACGGCTAAACTCGAATGATTCTAGTTCTTGGTCTTGTGTTAGTTCTAGTAATAGTGCTAGTGTAAAACTAGAACTAACACTAGATCTAGAACTAGAAACATTCGAGTTTAGCCGCACGTCTCTTAAGACGGCTAAACCCAAATGATTCTAGTTCTAGGTCTAGTGTTAGTTGTAGTAATAGCGCTAATTTAAAACTAGAACTAACACTAGACTAAGAACTAAAAACATTCGGATGTAGCCGCGCGTATTTTTGTACATTACATCTTAAATGAAATTTACTTCAAAAAGAATGAAAAAAAAACAGTATCAACTCTTATTTCTTTGCATCAATTGATGATCAAGAGATATTAAGTGTTATCTCGAACAGCCAAACAGTGAAGACATAATATATGGATTGATTCTTCTATTGTGAAAAAAGTTGCAAGCGAAATTGCTAAAGTATTAGTTATAATTTTCAATAAATGTGCCGAGGAAGGAACTTTTCCTACTAAACTGAAGATTGCAAAAGTCATTCCTATATACAGCGTGATTTATTAGATCACCATCAAACTTTAGCGTTATAATTTCGTAAATAATTGAAATAGGGTATGTTCATTAACATTTTTTTTTGGTAATTGGATTAGCTATCATATGTCAAACTTTGATGGTGAGCTAATAAATCACCCTGTATAAAGAAATCTCAAATCGATAACTGCAGGCTCATAGCCCACTTGCCAGGTATCATCAAAGATCTCACAGATGCCCATGACATTCATGAGAAATCTAAAATAATTTGTTAATGACAATGTATAAATAAGTTAAATAGGTTAGTTTTGTTTAGAAAAGTCAATCAACTCTGACAAAGCTATTAGGCAATGTTAGGATAGGTCAGTTTTCTTTTGAAATCTCAATTATACCGTGAAGATTATACCTCAAATATAGTATAATATAATATATAATTTATGTAATTTAATGTAATGGACATAATATAGATAATAGAAGAAATCTTTATAAATTTTTGATCCAAAAGAAGTTTTAAAAGATCGTTTGGGTGCTCACCAAGTATCGAGAAAGTCCAACAGGTCGTTGATAATTTTCTTTTCGATTTCTTTTTGAAGGCGTCCTCCTAAGTTTTCACTCTTCAAACTCTTCTTTATCTTAAAAAAAAAGATATTTGTTATATTTACGAATAAAAATAAACGTTTTGAAATGTCATTTTTTTAATACATAACCTAAACGATAACCTTAAACCAATTCATTAAAAAAAAAATAATTTGTGTCTTAAATTACCACGAATTCATTTATAAATTAATTAAATATCTATAAATTTACCTAAAACGACGCGAACTTTCCTTAATTAAACGAAATACTTGCTAATTTTTATAATTTTAAACCGTCACGTCAAAAACAATTTTTCAAACGTCATGTTGATATTAAAACGTGAAGTTGGCTACAAATATTTTTTTTAAATTAACCAACTTCACTATTATTACCAACTACAAGTTACCATAAGTATTCATAAAACTTCGGAAAATAAAGTTCTTAACAAAATAGATAAAAACAAATCGTTTAAAATACGATTCAAACTGTCATTGTCATTAAAACAGAATTTTCCTAAATCGCCGTTAAAGTAGGTAACGATTGTAATTAGCGCCATCTAAATAAATAAAGTCTTTGGTATAAAATGTCATTTTTTTAAATACATAACCTAAACAGCTAAAATAAAAATTTTCCATGACACCCTAAAACACAAATTTTTTGACATTTCTTTAAAATTGGCGTAAAAAAATTTTTCTTATTTAAATTTTTGGAATAAAAAAAAATTTTAGTAAAACCAAAATGACGAGTAACGAAGAAAGTGGATGTCCAAAATTACCATGGGTAAATAAAATACATTTACAACCAACTTAAAAATCTCTTAATTACAATTTATTTCTAGATGGTAGAATTTCATAGCACAATAGACGGAAAAATCCTGAATTACCAATTTGATGCCGCATACGCAGACGATCACATAGAACATTTATGTCGTTTAAACGTCGATTCTTTATTGCCCACGTGGAGATTATGTGGGATTATGTGTTCCATCGGTCCAAGTTGTAACGACCCAGAAGTCCTACTAAACATGATGAAAGCTGGAATGACCATGGCTTACATCAAAATGGCCCACACGACACTCGACGGAGTCAAAGACACCTTAAAAAACATCAAAATCGCTCAAAATCGATATTGCAAAGCGCAAAAACGAGCCGTTAGCATTGGAATTGGGATTGAAATAAAAGGACCAGAAATCAGAACTGGAATTATTGAAGATGTAAATTATAATTTCAATTTGTTTTTAATTCTGAAACAAATCGTTTTTAGCCTGATGTTAAAGACATCGAACTTAAAGAAGGTGACGAAACATCATTAACAACGGATCCAATGTACGAACAATTCGTCAGCAAAGATATGATTTATGTTAATTATGATAAATTAACACAAGTTGTTGAACCGGGGGATAAAATTTTAATAAGCGACTCTGAAAATGGAAGTGTTACTTTATCTGCAATTGAAATAGGTTTGAAACAATTTTAATTTGCACTTTAACTCAACCTTTTTCACATGTACAGTCATGTTCACGGGAAATGCACACTCAAGCTAACTAGCACTATACCTAGAACTGGAATCATTCGGGTTTAGCCGCACGTCTCTAAAGACGGCTAATCCCGACCGATTCTAGTTCTAGGTATAGTGTTAATTCTAGTTTTAGTTCATTAATAATATACAGGGTTTCCCAAAACTCCCGGGACAGCTTAGATAGTTTAGAACTTCCATGCAATGTGGAGTTTTTTTAGGGGATGACCACCCCTGGATTTTTAAATAGCAACCCCTGTACGACTCCATAAACCAAAACCCAATATCTTAATTCTTTCAAGAATTATGAAGGGTTGACTACCAAATGGGAAAATAAAATGTTTTCGTGCTTTTTTGCACTTTTATTACGATTTTTATAACAAATGTTCAAATTGTCAACCTTCTTCGGTCTCGCTATAACCCAAACGCTCATAGATGGAATTTTGAACCATCAGGAGCATATCCCAAGTGATATTGGTGGTTCTTCAAGTATGCGATTTTCCAAATCATTGATTGATTCTGGTTTTGTTGCATATACTCTACTTTTCAGAAAACCCCAAAAGAAAAAATTGAGTGGTGTTAGATCAGGAGATCGTGATGGCCACTCAATATCACCTCTACTCACCAATCCAACGGTTTGGAAACGTATGGCTTAAAAAGTCTCGGATTGCGCGACTAAAACGTGGAGGATTACCACCTTGTTGGAACCACTTCTTGTCAATACCATTAGGGCATACGGCACGTACACTTGGAACCACTTGATTTTCTAACAGATCTGTCTCCGTCCAAATTTCCATTAATAAAAAATGGACCAATTACATTCTCTCCCATAATACCAGCCCATACATTAATTTTCTGAGGTCTCTGAGTATGACCTTCTCTTATTAAACATGCATTTTCGTCAGTCCAATAACGATAATTGTGCCTATTAACCTTACCATTCAAATAGAAACTAACCTCATCAGAGAAAACAACGTTCAAAAGAAAAATTTCTGTTAACATTTTTCACCTTCGTTCAATTCCCATTTTATCCCTAGACAAACACTGTCCCTAGAACTAACACTCGACCTAGAACTAGAATCATTTGGGTTTAGCCGTACGTCTCAAAAGACGGCTAAACCCAAATATTTCTAGTTCTAGGTCTAGTATTAAAAAGACCTAGTCCAGTTTACTGGACTTCGAATTTCTAAATTCTGTACCAACGTACAGTCAACTGGACACAGTTGAATTTCTTCAAAGTCTCTATTTTCTTATTCTAAATACAACGTAATGTGCTATACAAACCAAAATGAATACTACGGCTACACCAAAATATTACAAAATAATTATTGTGCACTGTGCCAAATTCTGAAGCATGGATATATGCATAAACCAGGGCTTTTTGGCAGTTGTATCTGGATTTCTTGTAAACTCCACCTCTGCTACACTGGCGACACCTCTTCATCGCGGATTAGATCTCCAGATAATGGAATCATTGACCTGTAGCATATCCTTTATAACTTCTCTGAACCTCAAGAGGCCAATTTTTTTTTTCACATTGCTATATCTATAAGATGATAGAATACTTTTCGGTACCATCTTATGATTTTCTTTGGCGATGAGTAATATCCCATCATCTGGTCTAATGTATCTATCCTGGACATGTACTTATGATAGGCGAGTACACACTCTGGCTTTATTACTTGTTTTCCTTTTCTATTTGTTGCTTCTACCATTCGGTGTTTATGCATTGTTGATCATAGCCACCAATCTCTCGTCCTTCCAGTGTGTAACCAACACTGGACCTTTTCTTTTCTATACAGCTTCTCCTTTCTTAATTTTTTTTTGAAATAATTGTTTCGGATTTCTCTTTCTAAATTTTCGCAAAGTTCCTATATTATTATTATTAGTGTTGCCGGGCTGTGGGGAGCGGCCCCTCTCGTTACCACGACCTATAAGATCTATTGTAACTTTAGCCCTTCAAAAATTTAGGGCAAATGTAGGTCCTTGATGAACCTTAGTATTGCCCTGAAGTCTTGAACCTTTATGTCGGTACGTGTCAAGAGAGTTTTACCGAAAATTTTGTGTCTTAGACGGCCTCTGGCGACGCAATTGCACAGTATATCAGCTATTTCTGACTCGTCGTTGCAAAGTCGACAAGTTTGAACTTCAGCTTGTCCAATGTGGAAGAGGTGGTATTTGGTTTTGTTTTGCAACGAAGTTATCATACTCTTCACTTGTCTGTGACCTGGAAGTTCTTTCCAGCGTAAGGCTACCTTTGAGACCTCCCAACTGTTGATTATTTGTTTTAGGTGGCTTCTTTGTACTCCACAACCAGGTTGGGGTCCAATGAAGGGCGTGTTCGCTGCCTCTCTGGCCAGCTTGTCCGCCTTCTCATTGCCCTCAATGTAGCTGTGACCTGGAACCCACCATGGGGTAACATCATTGCTCCTAGCGAGTTCTTTCAGGTTGCTGGTACACTCTCTGATCAGTGCAGAGTCACACGTATAGGCCTGAATTGCCTTCAAGGCAGCCAGACTGTCTGTGAAAATGTTTATGGATGCACCTTGCTGTCCCTTCTGTAAGTTCAAAGAGATGCAGAAGTTTATAGCAAGAACTTCTGCTTGGAAAATTGTTATGTCCGAGCTGAGGGGCAGTTTAATGTGGCTATTTGGTCCACTGATACTCCGGATCTAACTGTCTTTGAAGCATCGATGTACCAGGCTAGGGCTCCTCTTTTCTATAATTCCTATAAGTTTCGTCTTCCTTTTGAACAAATATTTTGCTAACCTTTGACACTAGTGTAATAATTATCAAGGTATATTTCATGCCCTGTATCGAAATAGTCTTTTAGTAGCTCCGTTATGACTGAAATCGTGTGGGAATGCTCATGATCATTGTCTGTTGTAGTGCCTTTTCCACTATAGACAAGTACACTGTGTTAATTAATTATCGTACCCGACGTCATCATTGCAAGTATGCAACCACTATCACAGTAGTGGTATTGCAAAACACGATTTGCGATATTGGTTGCATACCTACAATGATGACATCGGGCAAGGTCTATAGAACATAAGGTTACCCAATACCGATTCTCCTCCTCTGAGAGGCAAGGTGGGTCAGTGACGTAGCTGGTTCTATGAACAACACAACACGATGCGAGGTTTAAATATTTTATATAGACTGTACCACAGTATAGGCTATCCACAGTATATCTATATAGGCTAGTATAGGCACGTATAGGCTATCTTTTATTCTGACTGTATCGAACCAGTGACGTCAATCTGCGGGGTAATAATCGATACTACAGAGGCATAGGGAATGAGGTAACCTTATGTTCTATAAACCTTGGAAGTCGGGTACGATAATTAATTAACACACTGTATATTCAAAACAAAACCATCAAATGTGGTAAGCTCATACAGCTTTATTCCGTACTTATACCATTTGTCCATAATACACTGCCTAAATTTTAAGCGTCCTCGCCAGTGAATCATAGATTCGTCTATATAAAGTTATTTCATTGGAAAAACCAACTGCTGAATGTTTTAATATAAACGATCGTTCGTATCCACATCGCGATGATTTACAAATTGCAAAAATCTCAGGATATCGCAAAACCTATTCTTGGACATACATATTCCGAATACTGGGTGAAAGTAAAGAGAATTTGTACTCCATTGCTTTTACAACCGAGGAAGGTGTATAATTCCAGATAAAAGACAGAGCGCAATGAATTTAGATATTTCAAGTGGCGTCACATCTTCCCATTTCCTAGACTTTTTTCTCGTATTTCCTGCAATCGGCACTGATGTTGTTGCAAGAGTATTTGTTTCAATTTCAACATTATTGTCTAAAGTAGTCAATAGGTTAGGAGTTATTTCCGGAATATCTAAGTCATCAGCAGAGCCGCGACATTGTCGGGCAACTCATTGGCGGCTCGTCGCCTTACGATAGAGACTCGGCCACATGGACCACATCACGCCACATATAGTATACCACGCCACTGGTTGAGTTTTATTCCGACAATCGGCCAAACACGTATTGAACGCTGCATCACAGAGAACCCCCCAAATTTTACATAGGCCAGCATTCAACCAGTATCGTTACGTTGCGGCACATCGATGTGCTCGATAGAAGCACGTTACTACTACGGTATAACCCATTTGCTGCTCTATACAGATGGTGACATCAACAGCCCGAAACATCGCGGCTCTGGTCATCAGTTTCCGTGTCAGTCCAATCCGACTCATTATCAGAGATAAACTGCAAAGTTGATGTAGCAGGAGGTGTAGAACCATTTGAATTTATTTCATCATCAGTAAAAGGGACCTAATTGTTAAATGATAAGCCAGGTAAACTTCCAAAATGTGTAGATTCATCCTCGAAAGGCAAGTAGTCTCTATCTATAAGGTACTGGAAAAATCGTTTTCGCTCGAAATTTTTGATAAATGGTCCACAATGTATTCTAACTCAGCTTTCCTTTTCGCCGTTGTAAATGGTCTTGTAAGTTTCTAGTTTTATATTCTATTATGTTCTAGGTATCATGATAGTTCTAGTTTTACACTTGCACTGCTACTAGAACTAACACTAGACCTAGAACTAGAAACATTCGGGTTTAGCCGCACGTCGCTCAAGACAGCTAAATCCGAATGATTCTAGTTCTAGGTCATGTGTTAGTTTCTAGTGATATTGCTAGGTAGCGCTAGTTATCACTAGATATCACTATGTTGCATATTTCTATTGAATTAAAACTAGAACTAACACTAGACCTAGAACTAGAAAGTTTCGGGTTTAGCCCTACGTCTCAAAAGACAACTAAACCCAAATATTTCTAGTTCTAATTCTAGTGTTAGTTCTAGTTTTACACTAGCACTGTTACTATGTAGAACTAACACTATACCTAGAACTAGAATCATTCGGGTTTAGCCGTACGTCTCTAAAGACGGCTAAACCCGAAAGATTCTAGTTCCAGGTATAGAATTAGTTCTAGTTTTGCACTTGTACTGCCACTACAACTAACACTAGACCTAGAACTAGAAACATTCGGCACAGAACTAACACAACACCTAAAACTAGAATCATTCGGGTTTAGCCGCACGTCTCTCAAGACGGCTAAACCCAAATGATTCTAGTTCTAGCTGTTGTGTTAGTTCTAGTGCTATTGCTAGGTAGCGCTAGTTATCACTAGATATCACTATGTTGCATATTTTTATTGAATTAAAACTAGAACTAACACTCGACCTAGAAGTAGAATCATTTGGGTTTAGCCGTACGTCTCAAAAGACGGATAATTCCAAATGTTTCTAGTTCTAGATCCAGTATTAGTTTAACACTAGCATTAGAACTAACACTAGACTTACAACTAGAAACATTCTGGTTTAGTCGTCTTAAAAGACGTACGACTAAACCCGAATGTTTTTAGTTCTAGGTCTTGTGTTAATTCTACTTTCAATTCAATGATTAATTTTACCATAATGTTTCATTTTAGTTGGAAGTATTATTCGATGCCTGATTGAAAACGCCGGGACAATAGCTAATAATGCTAGCGTCTCTTTAGAGGCGGCGATTGATTTACCACTATTGTCAGAAGAAGATGAAGAAGTTTTGCAATTCGCCGCAAAGGAACGAATTTCATATATTTTTATTCCATACGCTGAAAGAGCCGATATTTTAACTCAAGTTAGAAATACCTTAGGTAAAATAATAAAATTAATTAATTAACAATAAAATAATTTTATTTTTATTTAAGGTGATAATGGAAAAGCAACGATGATAATCTCAAAAATTGAAAACTTAGCTGGAATTTATAACATAGACGAACTTATCCCTGCTTCTGATGGAGTATTAGTATCAAGATGCGCGTTAGGTCGCGAAATTCCATTTGAAAAAATGATTCTAGTCCAAAAAATGATCGTTGGAAAATGTAACAAAAACGGTCTCCCCGTTATAATCGCCCCCCATATGCTCCAATCGATGGTTAAACAACCAACACCAACCAACGCAGAACTTAGCGATATCACAAGTTGTATAGCGGACGGAGTAGATGCTTTTGCTTTGACGAAAGAAACAGCGATTGGGCCATATCCCGTTGAATCAGTCGATAAATTAAACGTAATTTGTCGACACGCTGAGCCGTTAGTGTATCAAAAACAATTATTTGGCGATTTAACAAAAACCGTGTCTCCAATTGAGCCGATTTATGCGATTGCAATCGCCGCCGTTGAAGCTTCTTTAAAAGTAAATGCGGCGGGGATTGTTGTTACTTCAGTTACGGGGAGATCGGCGAAACTTATATCGAGATTTCGACCTAGATGCCCAATTATTACCGTTACAAGACATGGTCATGTCGCTAGGTTTTTAAATTTGTGGAGGGGTGTTTTTCCTATTCAATATATAAGTAAAATTGATTCATTTAATAATTAAATTTTAATTAAAAAATTAATTTTTAGAGAGATATGACGAAGATTGGTGTAAAGATATCGAAAGAAGAGTGCAATATGGGTTAACCTACGGAAAATTGGCTGGATATGTAAGAACTGGAGATGCTGTCGTGTTAATAACAGGATCAAGAACTGGTGCTGGGTTTACTAACTCATTGAAGATCGTTTATGCATCCGAATATGATTGTCCTAATTAATTAAAAAAACTAAGTGTTAAAAGTATTTGTAATATCAACCAAGTTATAGTCTAGAAATCTGTGTTAATAAAAACTATAATTGTCTTGCTAAAATTAAGTTCAATTTTTTGTTCAACTCAATTGACTTCTCTTTTATTTGTTTTATGGCAAATAAGACATCAGTCTTTGCTAAAGCCTTGTCGTTCTTCGGCATTTGTTATGATATTTTCTAACTTATTTTTTAGTATGTTAGTAAATAGCTTCATAGAAGTGTTCAACAGTGTTATGCCATGATAAATTGCAGGGTTAGTTTTTGCTCCTTTTTGAATATGGAAATTGTTATGCTTTTGTGCCATTCATTTGGTACTGGACAATCGATTATACTAACACTTTTAATCAGAAATCTAGTACACAACAGTCTTCCTCTAACTTCAATAGATGTTTCACTTGCTTCGATCGTTAACTCATTTGTTGGAAAAGGCACCCAGTATAGCTCTTTAGGTTTCATAGCACGTTACCTGAAGTTTATTCATCAGGATTTTAGGATTAGCATCCACAACCATATTCAATTCTGAATCTGACTATTGCTTCATATAAAGCACTTAATAGTATAGGATTTTATCCTTTACAGGAAAATTTAGGTTGCTTTTAAATTTTTAAATGTCAAAAATATAATTTAATATGAATCCTTACCGCTAGATGGCGCCAATAACTACTTATAAATTATTTTTTCAAGTTTAGAACAGTAATTAGATATTGAATTATTTCAAATTACTCACTTCTTGTTTGAATAAATCATTCCGAGTTCCTTGAATCCCTAAAAATAAAAATTGAAACGATAAAAAAATTAGGTTATGTTCTCGATTAATTTAAGGAGGAAAAATCTCTTTGTAGGAAGTAAACTCACCTTAAATAAACAGTTTACGCCTTCAAAAACACATTTTGATGGGTTTCTTGGCGGAATTACATATTTGTTTAAATAAAATTTAACAATTTTAGCGAGCAATACAACCGATGATTTTTGAACGTCAAAACTACGACGTAGTACGGATATTTACCACTAGATGGAACGAGCAACTGTTTCAAATAAATTTTTTTCATATTAATTAAACCAATTAGGATGATAAATACACAATTTAATGTGCAATGCCGATCTATTTACGCCTTAAAAAACTAACCCTAAAATAAGACAGTCTTGAATCATAATAAAGGAATAAAAAGTTTAAGTTAAGCCTATCATAATTTGAATAAATTAATAAGTGTATAATTAAACGGAATAAACAACCACCAAGTAGGCTCAGTTTATTGTTTTTTAACCTCAACATAAGCTATATTCTCGAACCATTCCTGATGGTCAATCAGAAAACTAAATTAAAAAAGAATTAATAGATTATTTAATTAAATACGACAACTTACTCTCTAATAAACAGTTTACGCTTTCAAAAACGTATTTTGATGGTTTTCTTGACGAGATAACACATTTGTTTAAATAAAATTGAACAATGTTAGCGAGCAACACAACCGATGATTTTTGATCGTCAAAACTACGACTTAATACGGATGTTTATCACTAGATGGGGCGAGCAACTATTTAAAATAAATTTTTTTATCTTTATTAAATCAATACTCTAGTTTTAAACAATATAAAGAATAAGAATTATTTTTTTTAATCTATAAAAGATTCATTTCTTTAAAACCAAATCCTTACAACAAAATGTTTTTAGTTGATATAAGAAATTGACATTTCTAGGTTATGTATCATTATAACCTAAAAGAAATCTATTCTGTCAATTCTAACAATATTTCAGTAATTTCAAAAAGGAGAAAAGATGAAAAAAGAAGTATTAGAAATAGTTGAAGTAACAGACGAGGAGACAGATGATATCCAGTCACTCATAAAGAGGCAAAATATTTTTTTATTTATTAATTATTTAAGGATAAGATAAAACAAATTCTTTGACGATTAAACATAAACTCTATTTATATTTAAATCCACTTTAGATAGGGATAAATATTAATAATATATACGTATTATACAATGATATACAACAATAAGATGATAAAATATATTTAAAACTAACTACGTAACACGTTCTTGTTAAAATTACCACTGTTTATGGTTCACCGATTTGTTTTTAATTCCACTCAATCCTCAAAACATATATCCATTACTCTAATTTAATCAATTTGCATTTGATCTTGCTGAGCGTTCCATTGCTTCCAAAGTTGTCCAGCAAATCTTGTATTAAAATCTATGTTGTTGTTTGTATCTAAATTATCTTGTATTCTTACGTACGGAGGAATCTGTAGAAAATAAAAAAAATAATTAAAATCTTATTTTAAAGACTTTTTAACAACTAACGTTTTTAATAAGGCAACAAAAATAGTTTTAAAATAATAAAACAAGCTACACTCTGTGTTTAGAATGTTTTTTGTTTTTTCTTTTATGAATATCATCAACCTAAAAAAAATAAAATAAGCAACAAAAAGTAATTACAACGATTAATTAAAATTTGTCGTAATTTACCGTAATCGGTTTTAAACCAAAATCGACTCGTTGAGCTTCAGTAAAAAGGGGATTTGTAATCGTAACAATTCTACTGTGAGGTAAAAACCCATCACGATATGCAGTAACTTTATATTTTCCGGGAGTTAATAACCTATAATAATCACCACCAAAAACTGCAACAAACAAAATTATTTAAAACTCCTTTATAATATTCCCTTTGTCCCAAATTATGGCATACATTAGTGATGGAATGGATAGTGATTTTGCGAAAAGCCGGATATTCGGCATCTCCTTCGGCCGGATATCCGGTTACCCGGCATATCTATCCGGCTATTATAGTTATAATTACCACATTATTACGATGTTTGAATAAAAATGATATTAATAAAAAAGCTAATAAGATAGGTAAACTTATTTGGATCCAAGATACAAAATGAACTTTTTTGATGCTGATTTAACTAATGAAGCAGCTCTAAAAAGAGGATAATTAATTAAAAATTGGCGATATTTCCACAAGTATCCTTCAAGAAATGAATTTTATAAGGAATTTTGAAAGTTATCGATGAAAATTGCAACATCGAAAATTTTATTAAAACTTCAAGTATTATTTTCTCAAAAACTATAAATTATTTTTCAAAACGGATTGGTTAATTGGAAAGAGGACACTATTATTAACACTTTGGGAAATTTTCAAACTCATATTCCAAGAAATGGATTTTATACGAATTTTTAAAACTTAATTGGCGAAATATGCCAAATTGCAAAAATTGTCGATTATTTCAAAAATTTATTTCTCAAGAATTGAAAGTGATTTTTCAAAAGGGCTTTTTGCATTAAAAAGAGGATACTTTAATTAATAATTGGTGATATTTCCACAAGTATCCTTCAAGAAATGAATTTTATAAGGAATTTTGAAAGTTATCGATGAAAATTGCAATATCGAAAATTTTATCAAAATTTTAAGTATTGTTTTTTCAAAAACTAAAAACTATTTTTCAAAACGGGTTGGTTCATTGGAAAGAGGACACTTTCATTAATACTTTGAGAAATTTTCAAACTCATATTCCAAGAAATGGATTTTACACGAATTTTTAAAACTTAATTGGCGAAATATGCTAAATTGCAAAAATTGTCGATTATTTCAAAAATTTATTTCTCAAAAACTGAAAGTGATTTTTCAAAACGGCTTTTTGCATTAAAAAGAGAATACTTTAATTAATAATTGGTGATATATCCACAAGGATTCTTCAAGAAATTAATTTTATAGCGAATTTTGAAAATTATCGATGAAAATTGCAACATCGAAAATTTTATTAAAATTCAAGTATTATTTTCTCAAAAACTATAAATTATTTTTCAAAACGGATTGGTTCATTGGAAAGAGGACACTTTTATTAACACTTTGGGAAATTTTCAAAATCATATTCCAAGAAATGGATTTTATACGAATTTTTAAAACTTAATTGGCGAAATATGCCAAATTGCAAAAAATTGTCGATTATTTCAAAAGTTTATTTCTCAAGAACTGAAAGTGATTTTTCAAAACGGCTTTTTGCATTAAAAAAAGGATACTTTAATTAATAATTGGTGATATATCCACAAGGATTCTTCAAGAAATTAATTTTATAGCGAAGTTTGAAAGTTATCGATGAAAATTGCAATATCAAAAATGTTATCAAAATTTCAAGTATTGTTTTTTCAAAAACTAAAAATTATTTTTCAAAACGGGTTGGTTCATTAGAAAGAGGACACTTTCATTAACACTTTGGGAAATTTTCAAACTCATATTCCAAGAAATAGATTTTATACAAATTTTTAAAACTTAATTGGCGAAATATGCCAAATTGCAAAAATTGTCGATTATTTCAAAAATTTATTTCTCAAGAATTGAAAGTGATTTTTCAAAAGGTATTTTTACATTAAAAAGAGGGTACTTTAATTAATAATTGGTGATATTTCCACAAGGATCCTTCAAGAAATGAATTTTATAGCAAATTTTAAAAGTTATCGATGAAAATTGCAACATCGAAAATTTTTTCAAAACTTCAAGTATTATTTTCTCAAAAACTAACAATTATTTTTCAAAGCGGATTGGTTCATTGGAAAGAGGACACTTTTATTAACACTTTGGGAAATTTCAAACTCATATTCCAAGAAATGGATTTTATACGAATTTTTAAAACTTAATTGGCGAAAATTGCAAAATTCTAATAATTAAAGTTGTATTCAATGAAAAAAGTCCTATTGGGGTTGAACTTGATTATTATCTGCAGTGTCCAATGCCTAAAAGAGATACTAATTTCGCTAATATCTGGCCGGATATCCGTTCCACCATTGGTATACATTATATAGCCAGAAAGGCACTGTAAAAGCAAACGATTCATCATTAACGTCATGTTTATGGCTGCAGTGGCCAGACCACGTTATGACAGTGCCAGAAAACAGTATTTCAACGGCAAAATAGGACTTTGGCCAAAAAGAAACAGCAAGAACCGGGCAAGAGGAACAATGGTGACCAAAAAAGATGATTATCGATAACATTGTAGTAGCCATTAGATCCAAATGCCTAAAAGCACATAAAGCCAAGACGATTTATGTTCAACAAGATAATGCAATACCGCATTCTTATGAAAACGATGCAGAATTGCTGGCCGAAGGATCAAGAGATAATAATAATCCTGATTTGAAATGTTTTAGACCTTGGCTTCTTCAATGCCATTCTGTCTTTGCAGCACCAAACATCGCCAAAAACTATTTTTACAACAAAAAACAATTTTACAAATACAATAAAGCAGTTTTCAAAGTTTTGTATACCATAATTTGGGACAAAAGGAGTATTTTTTAATTACCAGATGTTATGTCATGTTCGATATCTTTCTCCATTCCATTAGTTATGTTCTTTACATGAATAATAGCATTACTAATTGGTTGTTTACTAGCCGTACTATAAACAATTCCTTTAATTCCAAGATGAGTTTGCCACATGAAATTCATTAAAGCGTTTTTATTTTTATGCCACTCATTTTGTAATTGTCCACCCGGCGGATATTTTTGACAACCCAATTCTAATGTGATCTCGAAATCGTTGCTCGATAAATAATTAAAATCTTGCATGCCGCCTTCTAAACTGTACCATTTCGCTCCATTCGTTATCCCACCTTCTTTCGCAAAGTTATCTGAATCGGAATCTCCACAACCTTTCCGACTGGGATCGGCCATATCTTTATGATACGTTGAATAACTTAAAGCTAAATGACGAAATGTGTCATCATCGGGTGTTTTGGCGTATTGACCGCTTGGTTTTCCCGATCTACTTTCGTCGTAGGGATAATTTGCAACTAAATCGCCACCGTGTAGATTTGAACTTAAAACGAACGGTATCGACATTATCCAACGAATTACTGCTCTCGTTTCGGGTTGGAGCTAAAAACACGTTCATTAAAATGTTTATTTTATTAAGAAATTAATATTTATTTACAGGTTGACTCAATTTATCGACTTCTTGTAATAAATGATTATTATGATCGACCATATTTCGTTCGTTACTGTACATAATTTTATTTAAATCGGGGAAATTTCGATTTAAATCGACCGAATTATTATTCGGGCGACCTATTAAGTAATCTTTACCTCCCTAAAAATAAAATTAATTATTTAAATATATTTTTGTAATCGAGATTAGATTAGTTACTGTGTCCGTAGCTCTTTGCCACCCATCGGGATTCATCGAAGGCAAAATATGAATCCTTGTCATCGATAATAACGTCGTTATTTCTTTGTCACGTATCAAATATTGATCGCAGAGATATGTTATTAAAGCCAGCAACATTTCTCTACCCAACACTTCATTTCCATGCATATTTCCAATGTATTTGAATTCAGGTGTTACTATAAAGAAGATAAAAATAAATAGTTTTATTATTATTAAGTTATCATTTAATGAGATATCGATTTGAATAAATTGAGGAGAATAAAAAAGGTTTTATCCAGCTGTCGTTTTCAGCACAACAGCTGTGACGTAAACTCGACGTAAATAGGGCGGAAATATGCTTTCGATGCGCGAATGGTTAAAAAATATATAAAAAGGAATAAAAGAAAGATGTCACGAACATATCCATTAAACGACCTTTCTTAATGGTTAGCTATCAACTGAAATATGTAGAACAAGAATTCAAAACATGCAACTTTATTTTATATGTACATTTCCAAACAATTTTGCTTTAAACCATTAAAGTTGAACAAAGAATAAATTGAACAAAAAAAGCTTTCATTTTAGGTATTCAGAACGCCTTAATTAATTTATGATGTTAATTTCGTGATATCTCCACAATTCGAGGTGATTTACGTTTAAAGTTTTAGAGTAGAATGGAAATTTGTTTACAGAAGTGGTAAATCACGATGAGAGATGGTCGTTTTAACTTTTCTGTGGCCGTTTTTGCCGGATTGAAAAACGAATTGTGTTTAACCCATTTAAATGGGAATATTAGATTCTAAAAAATGTTTTATTTATTTATAACGAATCCTCATTAATATAATTAATAATATCTTAATTATAATAAATTTAAAAAAAGAAAAAAAAATGCATCGGCCGGGAATCGAACCCGGATCGCCCGCGTGGCAGGCGAGCATTCTACCATTGAACCACCGATGCTACAAATAATACAGCCATTTTTAACGAGTACATACAAAAAATAATTATATAATTAATTATAAGAAATGATCCATAAATAATTTGGTTATAAATCAATTTAATAAATGAAACAAATTGAGTATAAAAAAATTAATTTTTAAGAAAGAAATAATAATTAAATAATGTAAATATCTAAATAATATAAATTTGACATTTTAAAGTAGACCAAAGCGTTTCTTCGTAAAATTGAAACCTTTTTCAAAATAATCATTAATTGAATCAAAAAAAAACAATTAATTGATTCTAATTAGAATGTAATTTCTTTTCTAATTTTTATTTATTACTTCATAAATAAATATTTAAATGTTATATCGGAAATGAGCCCCATCTAACGTTAACCAAGCGTACTAAGTCTCGATATTTTGACGTTTAAATCTTATTCCTTAAAATCATCGAATTTCATAAAGAAATGTTTAATTGAACTGAACAACCCATCAAAATACGTTTTTGAAGACCTAAACTATTTATTTAAAGTCGATGTAGGTATCAAGAAGTGATTTTTTCTTTAAAATTAATCATTGAAGTTTTTATTTTTTCATAACCTCACTTTTTATAACGTCAAATTCATTTTAATTATGTATTATTAAATTTTCAGAACGAGCTTGGGTTAGAGATGTGGAAACGAATTTTCGAACGATGATCACCCCATACAAAAAAGCTGGTTTCGCTTTTGTAATATCAATGATGATTATTTTGATAAAATGGAGCGATGTGAATGGTTAGAAGAAAATAAAGAGAAATAAAAGAAAGGTTTTATAAATAACAGTTACTAAAAAGTAAAGCTTGTTTATAGCACTTAACTGAAAATGAAATTGCAAATTCGTGATGCTTAATGTTTTTAGGATAATGAACACTATATTAAGTAGATACCTGTATTATCACATTTGAACTTGTCATCTTGACATTAAACTGTCATTTTAATATATTATCTTGTCATTTTGACGTTTCTGAATAATTGGAGGGAAACTATTTTTGCAATGAAAATAATTCGATGGGAAAATTAGCATGGAATAGAATCCAATTCGCCCGATGGTTGCGGACAGTAAATCAAGCCGCAGACGGTTTTCCCGGACGATTTTCTAACACGGGGAACGTTCGTTTCCCGGGGAAAATCGCATTACCGCAAACGGTCTGGGATGAAAATTGCGACGACGCAAAATCGAATCATAAATTTGCGTCCAGGACACTTCCGGACCAAAACCACAGTTCACACGAGAATAATCCACGGAAAATAATTCAACAAAAAAGAAAGAAAATGTTTTTTTTTTGAATCGTGACGATTATCTCTTAATTATCTCAGTTCAAACTTTATTTCCACCCATATCTCATTTTAAACAACATTTTCTCCACCCTTAAAACTCTCAAGATAGACTCTTCGAGCTATATTAATATCTCTCGAGTGACAAATGTTTTGTTTCCACAAAACCTTTTACAAATCCAAACCACACCGTAATAGATACGGTTCGTAACAATACCTCGTTTTTGTTTTATCACCCCAATCGTTTTTTAGGTCACTTTTTTCACAAATCGCCTCCCTTTGTTATCCTGGTTTTGTACTCGTGCAATTTGTGTTTCTTTTTTGTCATGGAAATGAATAATGAACTCGAATAAAATTATTAGTTTCGAAATGAGATGAATTGTTGATTATATCAATAAATTTCCGGTTTATTTCGAACAAAATTTAATGATTTATCGCCTAGTTAACTTAAATTGATTAAGTGATAAGAAAATAATAAAAATCAGAGTAATCTTTTTATTTACTTCAATTCCTCTTCGTCTTCTAAAGTCGAGATTTAAAGCGAAAATTTTTCTACCACATCAGCTTCTTTAAATTGGATGGCTAATTTTATTTGAAAGAGGAGATCAATTTCTAAACTCATTTTGTACACTTAAACCTTTTCCCCCTCTTTGTGTGGATAATTAGTTTTACTCCCTTTAAAAAGTTTCGTTTTGAAAGTGGCAAAAAAACTTTTATGGACGATTAAATTACTCTCGAACACTTTTAGAACTTTTAATACCCCTTTAGCTCCACCACAAATTAAAAACTAACCCTTTTATAATTCTCCATTATGAATTAAAAATAAAAATTAATTAACTTACATATTTGATGTCTTCCAGGTTTTGCTGAAAACTCAATGACGTATAAAGGAACTCCACGAACAGACGGCTCGCTTAAAGTATAAATTCTTGTTACGTTCGGACATCTTCTATGGACGTTTTCAAGGGTTTCGATCAATTCTTCATTGGTGTGATGTTTAAATTGGAATTGTGATGATGTTGCGATGAGCGAGAGGATGATCAAAATATTGGAAACGCTAGTGGTTGTTAAGAACATGGCTGTCGCGCCTAAAATGAGCCCGACACTCGTGGAAAACTTGCCAATATCGTTCGCGCCGCGCCGCCGCTGGAAAACGAACGTTGTGAATGAAAATTACACCGCCGCGCAAGCGCTTCGACGTCATTCGAACTTGCGAAAAGCTTATGGATTTTCAGTGTGAGAGACGTGGGCGATATTTTTTTGATTGACTTGATAAGTATTTTTATTTCTTCCAAGTATATGATAGGGTTATTTTTGGGACAAGCTAAATTTAACACGAATTGATTAATCAATTTTTATTAATGTCATTTTTGACAAAATCACGAACACAATTAATTATTAAGAGGAGGTATCAATTAAATTCCTGGCCATAAAAGCGATTTTTTGAGCCCTTTGTATTATTTCTGGGCAAGGTTTTTTTCTAACCATTCGACAGTCTTGGTAAAATCCTTCACATTTTGGAAATCCAGTCGTTCCATCAGTAAAAGTTGTTAAACCTAATAAATTAAAAAGTTTATATTTATATTATTAGTTTATTATTTAGCCGCACGTCTTTCAAGACGGCTAAACCCGAAAGACTTTAGTTCTAGGTATTGTGTTAGTTGTAACGATAGTGCAATACTAGAACTAACACTAGACCGAGAACTAGAATCATTCGGATTTAGCCGCACGTCTCTCAAGACGGCTAAACCCGAATGATTCTAGTTCTAGGTCTTGTGTTGGTTTTAGTAATAGTGTTAGTTCTAGTTTTAGTTTAATAAAAATATACAACATAGTAATATCTTATGCTAACTAGCATCACTGCCACTAGAAGTAACACTAGACAGAGAACTAGAAACATTCGGATTTAGATATTCGACAACTTCTAGGCTATTATTAAGAAATGAAAATATCAAAAGCCCAACCCAACCCAGCGTCGACTTCAAAGTCATCTAAACGCTGCTTACTTTTGCTTCAAACCAACAAAGACAGTGATTGGCTGATCAATTTGAGACTAGAATCAAGTAATAAGTTAATGCAGAATAAGTTCTAAAATAATGAAGAATTCGGCCATTTACATTTGCAAATGGCAATGGAATAAATTTTCTTATATCTCGCTTGGAACTCATGTTGAAGACACTTTTCATTGTCTTGAAGCTTTGTGGCATAAAGCAATATCTAATATGAAAGTCTTTTGGCCCATTTCGAGGTCTTTTTAACAAAGTAGCAACTGTTAATCATAGATATTGCTTGGGAATGTAAAAGTCGATTTGTGCTTGAATTGTAGGATCAACCCAAATCTATTATTTAAGTTATATTCATGGACTAATTTCAAACCACTCCACATTCCAAACACTTTGAGCAACATAAGATCTTATTGTTAAAGCAAGATGATTAAGCTTAAATACATCGAAACAAGATGGATAAACAGTTAATTTGACGCTTTAAACATACATTTTTCAAAGAAAAACATTTAGCCTAGAGAGTCACACTTTATAAATGTTAATTTATCAAAGAAGTTTCTAATTTGACATTTACCGTATCGTTTAATGACGTTTAAATTGAATAAAGTACCTTGAATTTTATGACAAATTATAGCATAATTATTGATTGTCATACAAGTGACAGTGTATTTGACAGATATCTTGCCAATTTGACATTTATCTCCTTTGGTAATATTAGAGCTCGTTTTAAAGGATTTTCATTTTATATAATTATAATTTTTTAGATATTCGACAGCTTCTTGGCTATTTTTTAAGAAATGAAAATATCAAAATAATGAAGTACAGCGAGATTTTGAAGAACTACTACCCAGCGTTGACTTCAAAGTAAGTTAAACGATGCTTACTTGGGCCCCAAACAAACAAGGACAGTTATTGGCTTATCAATTTGAGACTAGAATCAAGTAATAATGCAAATGGCAATGGAATAAATTTTCTTATGTCTCGTTTAGAACTCATGTTGAAAAAATGATTTTGGAAGAAAATATAAGCAAGATAACTTTTCTTTGTCTTGAATCTTTGTGGCATAAAACAATATCTAATATGAAGGATACTGACCGAGCTTTTTGGCCCATTTCGCCCAAATCTATTATTTAAGCTACATTTATTAACCAAGTTGAAACCACTCCACATTCAAAACACTTTGAGCAGTATAAGATCTTAGAGCAAGATGATTAAACTTAAATACATCGAAACAAGACGGATAAACAGTTAATTTGACATTTTAAACATAAATTTTTCAAAAAAAAACATGATTTATAATTGTCAATTTGTTAAGGAGGTTTCTAATTTGACATTTAACGTGTCCCGTAACATTTTATTGTATCAATTGCTATTATGACGTTTAAATTGAACAAAGTACCTTGAATTTTATGGCATTTTATAGCATAATTATTGATTAACATTTAAATTGTCATATAAATGACAGTGCATTTGACAGATATCTAGTCAATTTGACATTTAAGATGTCATTTTGACAATGTATTACGTTATTTTTTAAAATCTTTACCTAATCCCCACATTTTTCCTCCACGAAATTCTCCTTCGTGCTTCATTCCATCTGACCTCCAAAAAATACCAAAACCATGAAACCAACCTTCAAGAAATTCACCTTCGTACCTGACGCGACAAAGATCGTTTTAGATTCTTTTATAATAAACAACAAATCTACACTGTAATAAATCACACTTTACGATTACTTTAATAAAAAAAGGTTTTTTCTAAATATTTTTCGATATTCCGATCATGTTTCTACCATAAAAATAGGTGTAATAATTACGTTTATTGTTTCTATATGGGTAATAAATGCTACGAGTAAATTGGGGGGATCTCTAAAATATTTTTGTAAAGGTTAATCGGTCCGTTTTGACCTTACTTGGCTCCATCGGGGAAAGTTAACACCCCGAGACCGTTAAATAACCCATCCTGAAAGTAACCGTCGTATCGGGAATTATCCTGAAACTGTAAATGGCCCAATCCTTCCCTTAAACCGCCGTTGCTCCAATTTCCAACGTAAACCGTGCCGTTATCGTAACGATATCCCCCAGTTTTAGCAATTTTCGCTTACGAAAGGGAAAGAAAACGACTTCGATTAGAACAAATCGGCACTTCCTTTTTTTAAGATCAAAATCGTAAACTTACTATTTTCTACTTCCATCCTCTTTTCGCGTGGAACAACTTATAAATTGAGTATGGCTTGGGTTTCTTGTATTTGCTTTGGGGTGGAGTGGAGTTAATTAAATTTGGACTTAATTGGATTCGTTTATGTAAGCCGTAGGTCTTCTTGGGGTCGGTGGCTTTTCTAACAAACGACCAACTACTTCGTTAGGTAATTAGATAGTTTGTTAGCTAACGAATGGTGGTGTTAGATTGGGGAAGAGAATTCAAAAAATAAATCAAATTTTATTTTATACAGTTTTTGCACCTGTTATAATATAAATATAGTTAAATATAAATATAATATAAATTATAATTAATTAATTTGGTGTAATTATAAAATAATTAAAGATAATAATAGCACAATATAATTATTTAATTAAAAGAAATAATAATTAATCACAAATTTATTATCGACTAACTTCACACCAAAATACAGACATTTTAATTATTTTTTATAGCATAAAAAAAAATGTGTAAAACAATTTGTAAAACAAAGATGGAGTGTGCGGTATCAACGTGTAAGAAAAGAATAAAGATAAAGTAACCTGGTTGATCCATTGACCTAAAAACGTCTATGGTTTTTGCATCCTCTCCCGTGCAAATGTATCCAAAAACGGGTTTAAATAGAAAATGGTTTCGACCAGGGGTGTAAAATTGAAATTTTTAGAAGGAGAACGCGTTTTATGTTACGAACCCGACCCCACTAAGGCGAAGGTGCTTTACGATTCAAAAGTAAGCGTAATCTAACCTCACTTTCAACACTGCCACTTTTTAAGCTAAACTTGCTTTAAGTATATTTTTTTGTAGGTTTTAGAGGTTTTCGTTAATAAAGATCATCGAGGACGGAAAGTTACGGAGTTTTTAATTCATTTCCAGGTAAATTCGAAAATTATTTTGTATTTTGAGGTTATGTTGTGTTGTCAATTTAGGGTTGGAATTCTTCTTGGGATAGGTGTGTTGGGGAAGAGTTTGTGTTAAAAGATACCCCGGAAAATCGGCAATTACAGAAAGATTTAGCGGAAAAATCTCAATTGCATTTGTAAGTATTTTTTAATGAATTAAATTTAAATCAATTTTTTAATTAAAATATTTTTTTAGAGGGGCTTATTTGTATCGTAAAGAACGTAAAAAGCGCAAGATTAGCGATAAAGCGAACGCCTCCTCTGAAGATGGCAGCTGTGGGAGTCCTGCTGTGATGGAGGAGGAAGAAGGAAGGCACACCTCCAGTTCGGAGGAGTCCTCCTCCGGCGATGATGAAGGAGTTGTGTTAGAATTACACCAAGAACTTAAAACACGTCTCGAACACGATTATTATCTTTTACATAGCAGAAACAAAGTAAATTTAATTTAAATTTTATTTTAAATGTTCTAAATGAAGTTATTTTTAGCTGCAAAGACTCCCCGCTACCCCAAATGTAGTTACAATTTTAGAATCTTATTGGAAACAATATGTTAGCAACCAATTTAATTGTTTAAATGAAAAAACCACGAAATATCGAGCTTATACTCATTCGCCTAAAATTACTATCGAAGAAGTGCAACGAAAGTAAATTTTTTAATTCAATTTTTTTTATTGTTTTAAAATTTATAAATTTTTTAGTTTAAATTTATGCCGTGAAGTTCTCGATGGTATCAGAATTTATTTCGATTTTACCCTACACGATTTATTGTTGTATAGATGTGAAAAAGATATGGTTCAAACATCTCAAGTAAAATTTACGCCCTTAAAAATGTCAATGAAAGATGAAAATCAGTAATTTTTTAATTATTACATCTAATTTTTATTTATAATTATTTTTTTTTTAGTTCAAAAACTGATTTAAATGATCACGAAGAAACTAATTCTCCGCGGAACGAAGACGAAGAACTCTTTTCAAATGATAATATATCTTTTAGGATGAGAACACGGCGAAATTTACGATCGAATCGATCTGGAGATGCAACTAATGGTAATGGGGAGAGTTCTTCATCAAAAGAAGCTTCACTAAAGTATTATTAAAAAGTTTTGTAATTATTAATGAAAGTTCTAACGAATTCATTTTTAGTAATAATAATAATATGAGTGGGGAAATGATGAAGATTCCAGTTTGGAAAGCTTTACCTGAACATGTTTATAGTCAATGTCCTCCTCCTCCTTCATTGGTGTTTGGGGTGGTTCATTTAACAAGATTATTTGGTGCGTTATTTTTAATTATGCGAGAAAATCAATATTTAAAATGTTTTTTTAGTGAAATTACCCGATTTATTGAATAATACTTGTATGTCGGATCAAAAAATGAAAGCACTCGTTGGACGTTTTGAACATTTCCTAGAGTAAGTTTTCATACTTAATTAAATAATCTATTAATTCTTTTTTAATTTAGTTTTCTGATTGACCATAAGGAATGGTTCGAGAATACAGCTTATGTTGAGGTTAAAAAACAGGAAACTGAGCCAACTTAGTGGTTGTTTATGCCGTTTAATTATGAATACATGCATTTTTATTTATTTATTCAAATTAGGATAGGTTTGACTTAAACTTTTTATTCCTTTATTATGATTCAAGACTGTGTTATTTTAGAGTTAGTGTTTTAAGGCGTAAATAGATCGGTATTGCACATTAAATTGTGTATTTTTCATCCTAATGCTTCTTTTTTCATCTTTTCTCCTTTTTAAAATCTTTTACCTTTTAAAAAAAGAATTAAACCTCAAATTTGAAAGTGACAGATAGAAGTTAGGTTATGTTTTCGTTTCTTCTTCAATTTCGGGGAAAGATCACTTCTTAGAGTCTATAATCACTGTAAATAAATAGCTTGAGAATCCAAAAACGTATTTTGATTGGAATTTTGGCTCAATTAAACTTATTTTTTCGCAAAATTTAATAATTTTAGCTAGAAATGTAATCTTACTGTTTAAATGTCAAAATTGACTTAATATGGATGGTTGTCGCTAGATGGGGTGACCAACTATTTAGAAAAGAACTACTTAGAGTCCATAATCACTGTAAATAAATAGTTTAGATGTTCAAAAACGTATTTTGATGGTGATTTTGGCTTAATTAAACTTATTTCTTCGCAAAATTTCATAATTTTAGCTAGAAATCTAATCGTAGGGTTTAAATGTCAAAACTGACTTAATATGGATGGTTGTCGCTAGGTGGGGTGAGCAATTATTTAGAAGAAAAAAAATTTTTAAAATAAAAAAAATAATAATCATAAAAGTTTAAAATCTTTACCTGAATGATGATTAATTTTTCCTTATTATCTTAAAAAATCACTCATAAATAAGCTTTTTTCAAAAAAATAAATTAAATCCTCAAAAATTTTAAAATGACAGATAAAAGTTAGGTTATGTTTTCGTTTCTTCTTCAATTTCGGGGAAAGATCACTTCTTAGAGTCCATAATCACTATAAATAAATAGTTTGCGAGCCCAAAAACGTATTTTGATGGGGATTTTGGCTCAATTAAGCATATTTTTTATTTATTTTTTAAAATAGTGAAACCTGAAAAAGTTCTAACGAACCAGTTACATGAGACAATGACTTTACTTTTAAGTTTATCAGATTGATAAACTTATCAGATTCAATCAGATTGTGACAAGTTGTAGGTACAGAAAAATGTAAGGTTAACATTGCTTGTCAGATGCACGGCTAAACCCGATTTTTTCCAGTTCTAGGTCTAGTGTTAGTTCTAGTTTTAATTGTTATTAAGCGCTAAATTGTTGTCTATTTTCATTGAAATAAAAGTTGAATTAACACTAGACCTAGAATCATTCGGTTTAGCTGTATTGAGAGACATGCGGCTAAACCCGAATGTTTCTAGTTCTATATCTAGTGTTAGTTATAGTTTTAACTCTTTATTTCGTGAATTTAATAACACTTGTTTAGTGTTTAAATAATTATTTTTAAATAAAGTTTAAATGTCAAGATGACACAAATTCAATGTTACCAACTGTAACTAACTTCACAACAATTTGTCAAAATTAAATGTCAATTTTATGAAACGTCACGTTTTTTTTTTACGAAAATTAATTAATTTATGCGTAAATCATACGAAAAAAGGAACTTGTTTACGCTTTTTTAATGTCAAACCATTAGAAAGTCCTAAAAAAATTACATTAAATTGACGTTTTTTGAAATTTGGACCTGGACAAAGTATGCTATTATTATTGTGACGTCACATCGAAACTTTAAAGTGATTTTTCGATATGTTCTAAACTTTTCTTTTTATTTTTAACGTGTTTTTTGGGTCATATCACATTGATTAAAAAAAATCGTCGATGAAGATTCTTGAATTTTTCCAAAACCTTTTATTTCTATTTGTTTTAATTATAATTAATTTATAATTCATAGTCATCTGGGTGATAAAGCTCGGACAACATGTGATAAACATAGGATGGAGTATTCCCTCCTCTAAAATATTAAAAGACAATAAAAAGTGAGGTTAAAATCTTAAAATAATAAAAATCTTACTGATGTGTAACAAATAAAGAGATTAATTCCGGTTCGACGTGATCAAAAACTGGGTTATAAACGTGAACTTTATTTAAAATTGGTCCACTTGAATATGGTAATATAGCACCAGGTGAACCTAAAATGTTAAAGGTTGGGTGTTCTGGGGATGTGGCATAAATGGTGCTTAATTTATACATATGTACAAGACAAATTACCTAAAACGAAATGTATCAAATAAATTAATTTAAATTATGGGTTTTTATTTTATTACAGGTATTGAATAATGTTGTGCAGCCAAAGTAACGGTGTGTACTCCACAAACTGATCTTAAACTTCCATCAGCCATCACTGTATGTGTTCCAATTATAACTTTATTAACTCGAGACATCATCGCAAAAATACAAGCATCCGGAATTACAGTTGTTTGAATGTTATGATTCGCCAAATTTACAGCCATGTTATGACCCTAATCAAAAATCGTTAACTAAATTATAATTATAAATTGATTTATTTATCTTACATCATAATTTGGAGCCGATTCAACAACGATAACTTGAAATTTCCTCGTTTTAGCCGCTTGCAATAAAAATTTAGTAACCGTATCGGATTGTCCAATTGTTAAAATAATTTCGTTTGTATGAATATGATCCGCCGCTTGACTTGCAATGTTATCGGCGCTTGTTTCAAGTTCAGTTTTGTATTCTGATAAATGATCCAATAATGCCGTTTTTAAACTTTCCATTTTTTGACCATATTTCAAGCTTTGATCATCGGGATTCGATGTTAATAAAGCGTACAAAGTGGATTCGTCACCTTTATTTTTGAAACCTAAATCGTACTCATCCCTGATTATTTTTAAAATATGTCTCATTACGTTATTTATTGTTGCTTCGTGGGGAAGGTATTGTTTGATTGTTTCCATGTATTTTCGAATCGTTCCCATTAAATCTCTGATGAAAAAATTAATTTAATTTTTGACATAACCTCAAAAAAAAAAAAATATATTTACCTCGCTGTATTCCATTTTCCTACAGCAATGTAATTTTCAATTAATTTCTCGGTCTTTAAAGCTATATCATACGAAGTTTTCACTCTTCTGATTAATATAGAGATTTATTTTATAATTATGATTAAAATAGCACATATGTTGATATTTTAATTACTTACCGCACTTTTATATCCGTTATTAACTTCATAATATCTTTTAAGTTGTCCGTTTCTTCCATTTTTGAAGCAAATCGTTCTTAAAATGTGTAATTTTATGAAATTTATGCTTTTTTTATTATCAGTTTAGATTGAGGTTAGGTTAGTTTGACGTTCACGTTTGACGTTTATAGGTTATGTTTATAAATTTAGAAAATTAATGCTTTGTTTATATGTAGATATATTATTTGAAACAACTTTTGTTGTAACAGTTATTCTGTATCATGCTCGGAATAATCTTTTTTTCCCATTAGCAACTTGTGAAACTATGAATTCTTCCAATTTTCATATATTCGAATATTTCTCTACATTGATGCATCTGAGAGCAAAAGTGTTACAGAGCAATGTGTAAAGGGTAAAATTTGCTACAACTTTTGTCTTAAGAGNTTTCTAGTTCTAGTGTTAGTTCTACTTTTCTTTCAATAAAAATATACCACAATCTAACGCTAAACAATATTTAAAACTAGAACTAACACTAGACCTAGAAATATTCGGGTTTAGCCGCACGTCTCTCAAGACGGCTAAACCCGAATGATTCTAGTTCTAGGTCTTGTGTTAGTTCTAGTTTTACACTAGCACTATCGTTACAACTAACACAAGATCTAGAACTAAACTCATTCTGGTTTAGCCGTCCTTGTAATAGGTGTTAGTTCTAGTTTTGCACTAGTACTGATACTATGTGGAACTAACACTAGAACTAGAATCATTGGGGTTTAGCCGTATTGAGAGACATGCGACTAAACCCGAATGATTCGAAAGAGAAACTATGATATATGGTGAGGTAAGAAACGTGACGTCATTGAAGGAAAAATATAATATAATATTGCGTTACATTGTTTTATTGTTTTCGTTATTACTGTTTTATACATGCACACATATTAAAAATGTAATTGAAACGTCAAAATTTAAAAAAAAACTTCAATTTCATTTAATTTTTTTAGGACTTTCTAAAGGTTTGACATTAAAAAGACGTAAACAAATTCCTTTTTTCGTATGATTTAAGCATAAATTAATTAATTTTCCTAAAAAAAACATGAGTTTCATAAAATTGACATTTAATTTTGACAAATTGTTGTGAAGTTGGTTACAGTTGGTTACATTGAATTTGTGTCATATTGACGTTTAAACTTTATTCAAAAATTTATTTAAATAGTAGTCGTGGACAAAGTATAGTATTCTACTCGCATATAATGAGCTATTATTAACTAAGGTTACTATCTTTTACTAGTGAACGCATTCTAATGAAATAATCACGGTAGAATGTTTGTTTAGTAGCTTTGTATTTGCGTCTATAATATTCTTTGCTCTTAAGATTTTTAATTGTATCTGTGTTTTGCTGAATACAAGGCACTGACTCCTGTATCAAACCATAAATAAAGTGCAGAATAAAATAAGTCCAACATTTCATCAACGTCCTCAATAACTTCCAAAAATAACCAATCATGCGAGCAATATCATCATACAAAATTGGAAAATTGGCTTTTCGAAAGATATACCGACGGATAGCAGCTTTTGGAAATATCAATGAAGATTTTGTAGTATCAATTGGCAAAGCATCGGACAACGCCAGGAACGAAGGGGTACAATTCCCTCTAGATACCGACTTGACAGTTTAAGTTAGTAAAAACTAAGTCAATAATTCAATTATTGGTTTTTCTAATTGTGTTGATTTGATTCATATTTAGGAATAATTCCAACTTAAAGGCAAAACTCACCAATATAGCATTTAGCAAGTAATGTCTGAACACATAGGCAGAGAACCCTGATAAATGCAGTATCCACGCTAATAATAAAATATACAATAGTGTCAAAGGTTTTCGAAACTATGATAAAAAAAACAGAATCATGAAACATATAGAAAAAATCAACAATGACAGCACTTCTTACTGTAATTCAAAACATAATACCTGCTTTTCATATGCATTTCATTTTTGTTACATGCAAGTAGCCTTTTGTGATCTTAGCAAGGCTTTTGATTCTGTAGACCAATATTATGGATGAATTCTTATATTCATGATAGGCAGCAACAGGTTTATTGGAATCAAGCAATATCTAATTGGAGGAAGGTTGAAATGGGCCCCATTTTATTCTTATTGTATATCAATGACTTGCATCAAAATATACAGGCAGACTCTATGTATCTATATGCTGATGACACCTCTTTTATAAATACTTCAAAGGATTTTCAGGATCAAAAGACTCAAAAAACATTAGATACAACCAACAATTGGTTCAAATCGAATTATTTACACTTAAACAAGGAAAAACCTTTTATACCAGAAAAACACAAGAGTTAAAAAATCGAACGACAAGATTTCTAGGTGTAACATTATCTGAAACCCATTCTTGGGGTGATTAGTATCACATAATAGAATTAAAAAAGAAATTAGCGAGTTTCCTGTATTGCCTGTGAGTGGTATTCTAAAATATTGCTTGGAGAAGAGCTAAAAAATGTGTATTTTGTGTAATTCTATGGTATGGCAGTATATGGAATACTAATATGGAAGAAGGAGAGTCTGAAGAGATTTTTAAAATGCAAAAAAAGGCAATAAGGATTTTGAAGCATCTAAGATACAGGAAAAGCTGTAAAGGACACTTTATGATGATTCTTGAATTATACCAAACTTTTATTTAATTATTAGTTTTATTAATTTGAATTTTTTAGACATCAAACATATTACAAAAATAACTACATTATATAGGTTTAATTTTAAAATGTAACCCGATTAAAGAAAACACAAGACATTTCAAATCTTGCACTAAATAATAGAAACATCTCAATCCCTCAGGATCTTTCGATTGGCTCACATCCACCAAAGAGCCCGTTTTAGACGTGGTGAAAGAAATATGTTCATCGTTGATGACAATTTCGAGTTCTTGGCGTCCAATACGATCGGGTGGGGGCCACAATGAATCGTCTTCTTGCATTATTTCCGAATCAATTATAATCCTTTTGAGTTCTTCCATAACGCATTGGTGGACGTAGGCTTCTTTTCGGATCATCGTGTCGTTCTTGTAATTAGAATTGTTCGCGTAGCGGAGCTTTCCATCGGGGCGAAATTCGAATTCGAGAAATTCATGACCAAATTTACCTTTGTGGCCGACGTAATAACGGATGTAGAAGTCGGCGGTCATTTTTTTATGAGAAATAAATCAATTGGAACGATTTCAAACGTAAGCAAACTTACGCTTTGTTTATAGGTTAACGTTTAAGTATGAAGTTAGGTTAAGGTGCGTTCACTTTAAGGTGGGGGAATAATAACGGTTAATAAAAGATTACCTTCATTAAAGAAAATAGAATATTTTAAGTTTTTGATTACATTAGAATTAATGTTTAATTAAACATTTAAATTAAATTGTTTAAATTTGATTACAGTTTCCTGTAATTTTTGATGTGTCAAAGTCAAAATTTTTGAAGTGTCAAATCGATGTTTATTAAATTAATATTTATATTTTTAAATTAATTTATTCAAGATAAAGGTATTTGTAACGGAGTAATATAATTAACTAATTTGTTTTTATTCTTTTAGGATTTTTAAACATAAACAAAACAATGATAAAAAAAATTTCTTATCGTATTTGTTTATTCGTATAAATAGCTGCGCAAACATTAAATTTATATTTATTTGCTTAAAACACCCACGTGTTGGTGCTATGTGTTATAGAAGAGTTGACGCAATCGATGAAAGGGAGTTTAGAAATAGAAATAACAATTAAAGCAAGGTACGCGGCCTACAGGTGGGGATCTAATTTTGAATTGAGTTTAAACCTTTCTTGTGTGGTTAGAGAGACGAAATGATTTATAATTTAATCATTCAGTGTGACCGCGACTTGTGAATCGTGCGTTTCGCTTGCTTGTCAAAGCAATCAGCTGTTTGTCACTGGACTTAGATAACATGTAAAAGAGGTATGTTTGCGGTCACATAAATATATTGCGTAATAATAAATTCGTTTTGTTTAGTTTATTTACACACACACGCAAAGATAACGTGTTTGTGAGATAAAAAAATGTATTAGTTTAGGTTAGAATCGCAACAGGTCAATAATTAGAAATGCCAAGGTTACATTTTATTTTAGGCCACAGTGTTCCTTTAAAAAATCAATAAAATGCGATTTGTTACAGGTTTATTTTAAATTGGGTGGAATTAAAATTCCCAGTGCGCCGCCATAAAAGGAAAAACGAAGGATTTTAATTAAAAAAAAATCTTCTCGTAAGAGAAGAATGGGCGCTCACAGCTCGAAGGACTTTGTCGCTTGGTGAGTGTTATTAATCATTTAATCGGACTCAATTAGAATCTATTAATTTATTGTTAGGTATCAAAAGAAAATCGGCCGATATGACAAACAAGAATGGGAAAAAACCATTGACAAAAAGAAACCAATTGGAATTTTAACAAGACGCGATCACGAAGGGGCTAATTACAAAAATTTCATTGATTTAGACTTAGTACAAGGCAAGAAAATTTTGAATTTATAAAAATTATTTTCATAAATGTCACTTTGACAGGAAATGTCACTTTGACATATTGCACATCTAGTTCAATAATGCCATAAATGCATATTTTTAATCTCTTAATCTCAGTAAATTGTGTATAAACTTAAGGGTGCTGATAGTAATTACAAAAATTTCATTGATTTAGACTTAGTACAAGGCAAGAAAATTTTAAATTTATAAAAATTATTTTCATAAATGTCACTTTGACAGGAAATGTCACTTTGACATTGCACATCTAGTTCAATAATGCCATAAATGCATATTTTTAATCTCTTAATCTCAGTAAATTGTGTATAAACTTAAAGGTGCTGAAAGTAATTACAAAAATTTCATTGATTTAGACTACAAAGCAAGAAAATTTTAAATTTATAAAAATTATTTCAATAAATGTCACTTTGACATATCTAGTTCAAAAATGAATGGGATTATGTTTCATGGAAAAAAGTTAAGCTTGCTTTAAAGTCCTCTACTTTTTACTATTATAGTAAATAAATACAAGTAAATAAGAGTTAAAAAATAAAATAAGGTATTGTGGTATTTTAATAGCATAATAATCCACTAGACTCATCCTTTACTGAATTACAAAACTTGAATTAATCACTTTTATAAAAAATATTATGCACTAATCGTATAGAAAAATGATTTCTAAATCGATATAGAAGAATAACATTTTTTCATATCACCCTTCGTTCTTGAGATATTCGCCTTGGAATTCTTAATTTTTGAAAAAAACGTCGAATTTGATTGTTTTAAACGGAAATATCTCAAGAACGAACGACAATACGATAAAAAGTTACTCTTTATTTTCGATTTGGAATTCATTTTTCTATCGGAAACAGACCTTAAAGTTTATGCAAAAATTATTTCTACGAATTGGGAAATGAAATAATAAAAGTTAACCTTATAAAGTCCCCGTTTTAATCACTTTTTCGAATGGTGTTTAATAACAATCATTTTTATAGGTAATATTATGCACTAATCATATAGAAAAATGATTTCTAAATCGAAATAGAAGAATAACATTTTTTTATATCACCCTTCGTTTTTGAGATATTCGCCTTGGAATTTTTAATTATTGCAAAAAACGTCGAATTTGATTGTTTTAAAGGGGAATATCTCAAGAACGAAAGATAATACGATAAAAAGTTACTCTTTATTTTCGATTTGGAATTCATTTTTCTACCGGAAACAGACCTTAAAGTTTATGCAAAAATCATTTCTATGAATTGGGAAATGAAATAATAAAAGTTAACCTTATAAAGTCCCCGTTTTTAATCACTTTTTCGAATGGTGTTTAATAACAATCACTTTTATAGAAAATATTATGCACTAATCGTATAGAAAAATGATTTCTAAATCGAAATAGAAGAATAACATTTTTTTATATCACCCTTCATTCTTGAGATATTCATCTTGGAATTTTTAATTTTTACAAAGAACGTCGAATTTGATTGTTTTAAACGGGAATATCTCAAGAACAAAAGATAATACGATAAAAAGTTACTCTTTATTTTCGATTTGAAATTCATTTTTCTACCGGAAACAGACCTTAAAGTTTATGCAAAAATCATTTCTATGAATTGGGAAATGAAATAATAAAAGTTAACCTTATAAAGTCCCCGTTTTTAATCACTTTTTCGAATGGTGTTTAATAACAATCACTTTTATAGGTAATATTGTACACTAATCGTATAGGAAAATGATTATTAAATCGAAATAGAAGAATAACATTGTTTCATATCACCCTTCGTTCTTGAGATATTCGCCTTGGAATTCTTAATTTTTGCAAAAAACATCGAATTTGATTGTTTTAAACGGGAATATCTCAAGAACGAAAGATAATACGATAAAAAGTTACTCTTTATTTTCGATTTGAAATTTATTTTTCTACCGGAAACAGACCTTAAAGTTTATGCAAAAATCATTTTTATGAATTGGGAAATGAAATAATAAAAGTTAACCTTATAAAGTCGCCGTTTTTAATCACTTTTTCGAATGGTGTTTAATAACAATCACTTTTATAGAAAATATTATGCACTAATCGTATAGAAAAATGATTTCTAAAACGAAATAGAAGAATAACATTTTTTCATATCACCCTTCGTTCTTGAGATATTTGCCTTGGAATTCTTAATTTTTGCAAAAAACGTCGAATTTGATTGTTTTAAACAGGAATATCTCAAGAACGAAAGATAATACGACAAAAAGTTACTCTTTATTTTCGATTTGAAATTCATTTTTCTATCAGAAACAGACCTTAAAGTTTATGCAAAAATTATTTCTACGAATTGGGAAATGAAATAATAAAAGTTAACCTTATAAAGTCGCCGTTTTTAATCACTTTTTCGAATGGTGTTTAATAACAATCACTTTTATAGGTAATATTATGCACTAATCGTATAGAAAAATGATTTCTAAATCGAAATAGAAGAATAACATTTTTTTATATCACCCTTCATTCTTGAGATATTCATCTTGGAATTCTTAATTTTTGCATAAAACGTCGAATTTGATTGTTTTAAAAGAGAGTAATAATTAATAATAGTAATAGATAATAATAATAGAGTTTTAAAGAAAATACCGAAAAGATAATAACACTGTTATATTTGCTCAAAATGGTTAAAACTGCATTTTTATTTGATTTTTATATACAGGGTGTCTCACGTAACTGGTTCGTTAGAACTTTTTCAGGTTCGACTATTCCTATTAGAGGTTTGAAATTTTGGTAGCATGGGTTGATCATTCGGAACATTCGATCTAAAATATTTTCAAGATGGCCACCACTTCCGGTATACCGGAAGTAGACCATAACTTCGTTATTTTAAATTAAATGCCATAGTTTTTATTGCACCTTTTAATTGTACGTAAAAAATATGTTGATTTTGATAAAAGTTATTTGCACCTAGCGTTTTTCGTTTTCGAGTTATTTTGGTTTTAAGCTTTTTTTGGTAAATTTCACCATGCTCTTTAAAACAACATATCTCAGCTAACGTTCATTGAAAAAAGCTCTAAATTGGCACGATTACTCTTCAGATGATGTCAAATAGATTGTCATTTGTTGTGTCAGAGTAGTTTATACAGGGTGGTCAAAAATTCAATTACCGTTGCTTCATATTCAATGTCGAAAAAGTAGAAAATTTTAAATGGAACTTCCCATATTTTTTTAGCCTATCAGAAAGGTAATTTAATTCTCTACAAATTATCTATAAACATTTCCATTCCTATTTATTGTAGTTTCCCTCATATTGGGAAATTTATCAAAACATGGCGCTATTCAACTGGATGTGCGAATATAAACGTCAAATCAAAATTAAAAAAGATTTAAACATTCTTTTAGGTGCATCATTTACAAAAGCAAAACCAAAACATGGTTTTTTAACGGTCGCTTTCCTCGCTACATTTCGTTTCGTCTTTTTACCATTTTATTTAACCTGGTGGACTCGGCAAACATCAACGGCAGTATCGAGATGCATCCTCGTTTTATATTTAGTTGAAATTATTCATATCGTAATATATCTGCACAAGCAGAGTTACGCGAGTTTCGATGACGAAAATGAGGTTTAATATCATTTAAATTCAATAATTAAATAAAAATAACACAAAGTACTTTTTAGGAAGACGTTCCTTTATCGGAAATACTCATCCCAATCATGATGATGTGGGTACACAGCGTAATTCAGTCCCAAATCGGTGCTACGAGTCCCCCGGATAAAACCAGATACAAACCCACAATCCATAGGCAACACGTTCGAAAGAAACACAGGAAACGTCCGGATATTATGGGTGAAGATACCGAGGAAGATGAAAGTAGTGGGAGTACTGAGAGGAAACGTAGAAAGTGTAAAGGTGTAACTAAAAAAAATCCGAATTTGGGGATTCGCCATCACCCGGGAGTTGATAATGAAGGTTTAGGGGCGAATGTTGTTCGTTCTATGGAAGACGATGGTTTTGAAAGTTTAAAAAGTAATGGTACAAGTACGAGTGATAGTAGTGATGCGGAAATTAGGCAAAGATTATTAAATGGAGATTGTGATCATATGGAAAAATTAGTGAGTATTATTAAAAAAGAAAAATTATGTACAGGGTGGTTCAGTTTTTAATGGGAAAACTTTACTAAGACGTAGTACTTGCCAAAATAATACAAGTCAAATTGAGAAAAAAATTGACATTTTATCGTTTATTTCGGGTATGTACTACTGGTTTATACTACTTTATTATTATTACTACTTTATTTTCATTTGCATTTTTTGGCTTGTTTTTTGGTTCGTTGCTGTGGCAACCAACATTGTTATTTTAAATGGGATGGATTAAATATGGTTGTATAAGAAAAAATCAAGAAAAAACGCGTTTTCTGAAAATATTAAACCAGTAAATTACAATCAAAGTAGGTGCCGAAATAACGCCGCGCGCCGTTGACAACTTTAAATGTCAAAAAAATGACAGTTTCAACAATTATGAATTATTAATAATGTATGGATACGGCGACACACATTTAATACAGTTTCCTCATTGGTAGCCGTCCAGTTTTTGGAAGGTTTTTAACACTTCCGGTGTTAAAGAATTTTTTTTTGACATTTTGGATACTGTGGATTTCGTAATTTGTGTATCCTGGTAAAGATTACTGAATAGTGTACAAACTTCATTTTGAGTGCGTTTCTTTCACCGTACCCATACATTATTAATATTTGGATTCTTAATTGCGCCATATTTGTTTGAACTGTCAATTTTTTGACATTTAAAGCTGTCAGCGGCGTTATTTCGGTGCCTACCTTGACTTACCTTAACTCAATCATAACTCAAAAACTAAAAGCGATGGGGAAATATTTTTTTTACATAAAACCTTAGTAATGGATCATAAAGACAAGATCCATAAAAAGATTGAACCCAATTATTATCATTTTTATTTTTAAGCTCTAANCGCGCGCCGTTGACAACTTTAAATGTCAAAAAAATGACAGTTTCAACAATTATGAATTATTAATAATGTATGGATACGGCGACACACATTTAATATAGTTTCGTCATTAGTAGCCGTCCACTTTTTGGAAGGTTTTTAACACTTCCGGTGTTAAAAATTTTTTGTTTGACATTTTGGATAGTGTGGATTTCGTAATTTGTGAATAGTGTACAAACTTCATTTTGAGTGCGTTTTCTTTCACCGTATCCATACATCATTAATATTTGGATTCTTAATTGTGCCATATTTGTTTGAACTGTCAATTTTTTGACATTTAAAGCTGTCAGCGGCGTTATTTCGGTGCCTACCTTGATTGTACTAAATTGTTTATTTTCGAAAATTAACTCAATCATAACTCAAAAACTAAAAACGATGGAGAAATACTTTTTATACATAAAACCTTAGTAATGGACCATAAAGACTAGATCCATAACACTATTGAACCCAATTATTACCATTTTTTATTTATAAGCTCTAAATCGATTAAACATCAAAATTGTTGATTTTCGAAAATTAACTCAATTATAACTCAAAAACTAAAAGCGATGGGGAAATACTTTTTATACATAAAACCTTAGTAATGGGCCATAAAGACTAGATCCATAACAAGATTGAACCCAATTATTACCATTTTTTATTTATAAGCTCTAAATCGATTAAACATCAAAATTGTTGATTTTCGAAAATTAACTCAATCATAACTCAAAAACTAAAAGCGATGGAGAAAAACTTTTTATACATAAAACCTTAGTAATGGACCATAAAGATTAAATCCATAACAAGATTGAACCTAATTATTACCATTTTTTATTTATAAGCTCTAAACCGATTAAAATGGCGAAGTTATTGGCTATATTCCAGACATTTCACACATCCTCTATAAAAAATTTGCGTTATTTTGGCAAGTACTACGTCCTAGTAAAGAGTCCCGATTAAAAATTGAACCAACCTGTATAAAATGAATAAATTTATTTATTTTTTGTAAAAGAAACAGTGGGATCTGGAATTATTTAACGATTCTCAAGGACACGCAACAATCCGTAACTGCGAAATGAGTCAATCCAGTCAATATGAATCAAGCGATAATGACGATATTGATAATGATATTAAAGCGTGTTTATCTGGAAAAGAAGCTGGTGTGTAATAACTTAATAATTTAATAATTAATGATTAATATTGACGTTTTTTTTTGTCAATAGTGAATTGCATAATTTGGGTGCGTGGCGAAATGCGAAAAGCTCGACTAAAAGTTTTAGATATAAGCTCTCTAATTATACGAAAAGTTGAGGCGATGCCGAATAGCATGGAATATTTTTATTTGGGTCTGATATTTTCGACTTTTTTTGCTTTGACCCCACCGATGTGTAGATTTTTTAAAAACATGCAAACAACCTCGAATGATGAGCACGATTTCAAGAACGATTACAAAAACGATTTTCATCAATTATCCGTTTTTGGCATTGTTAATAATGCTTTTGATAAAGATTCGGTTACTTCAGCCCTTGAAGCATCATTTGGTTATTCAACTTTGTAAGTTTAGTTGCTATTTTAAATTTCTTATTAATTTTAATTTTTTTATTGTAGGGCACAAATTATATTATTATTATCTTGCGTCCAACGTTTCGTCCTCTCTTTTTTCTATTTCTTTTTATTATCTGTGGCCGAAAGAACTTTCAAACATCGCTTATTATACGCAAAGTTTTTTACGCATTTAACATCAAGCAGAAGAGCGAGAAATTCCGATTTGCCACATTTTCGCCTCGATCGCGTCGCAAATATAAAGACATGGCTTTCAGTTCGATCGTATTTAAAGAAGCAGGGTCCCTTACGATCAGTTGATGTCATTGTATCATCATCCTTTTTGATCACGATACCGTTATTGGTATTTCTTTGTACTGAATTTTTAAAGGTAAATGATTTAGCTTAAGAAATAATTTAATAATAATCTTTTTTTTGTTTAAGGATTCGATTTCGTTCCAATCTGAGAATATAATTGAAGCAATGATTTTGTGTACTCTTTTGGGTATTTATTTGTTTCGTTTTTTAACCTTGGGTGCTAAAATCAATGAGAAATCTCGTAACTTTTCCGTTATTACAATGGAACAAATCAATTTAAACCTACAATTGGAGCAGAAACCCAAAAACAAAGACACATTGAGTATAGCTAATAACGTGTTAAAATTAGCATCAGATTTACTTAAAGTAAGTACAGAAAATTTCACTTAAAATGCAATACTATACTAAAATATATTTTCATAGAAACCAGGGCGTACCTATTTGCATTGTTCCACATAAAATGTAACATGTCAAATAGACTAGACTAACACTAGCAGTAAAACTAACTCTAGAACTAGAAACACTCCGTTTAGCTGTATGTACAGGGTGGTTCAAATTCGATGTCCAAATAGGCTAACTCAGAAACTATAAGAGTTAGAAAAAAAGTAGCTTACATGTCATGATCTCGTTTTTCGAGAAACTACTAATGCCGAAAACCTCAAAGCACTATCGTTTTTTCTTTTTCCCCTAGAGGCCAAAATTGAAAATATCGTAAAACCAAGAAGTGCAATTATCTTGGTTATTATTATAGGTAGAGTATTATAACTAAGATATTATATGGACACTTTTTTACAGAGAATTTGATGACGTAGTCAAAAAAATTTTTTCGCTTTTAGATTTTGAGATATGACAATTTTCGTTTTTTTTAATTACTGAGTATTCGTTTATTAAATTCGTTATTTTTTTCTGATTACAAAAATATGGGGTTAGATAGGTCTATTTCTTATTGTTTAAGAATAAAGCTAAAAATAAATTTTTTTTTAGTGTCGTCAAGGAAAGTAAATTTACAGTTTCCTGTAAATTTATATAAAATTTATTTTGTAACATTCTAACATGTTAAACTTTTCGTAATCCATCTTAAAAAATAGTATTTTTAATTTGACACTTCAGAAAATTTTTGAATACAAACAAATGTTGCTATTCTATGTTTATTTGAATTAAAAAATATATATATATGAGTGCCATCTATCAACAATTTATCAAGTCATTTAATAATAATATTAAATATTAATAAAAAATGTGAAATAATGTAATCTATTCCAACTTTTGTGTAAAACAAATATAAATTAAATGGTTCAACAAATGTATTTGTTTCAAATGTCAGAAATATGTTTATTTAATTATTAGTTATAATTTACAGGAAACTGTAAATTTAATTTCTTTGACAACACTAAAAAATAAGTTTATTTTTAACTTTATTCTAAAACAATAAGAAATAGACCTGTCGAACCCTATATTTTTGTAATCAGAAAAAAATAACGAATTTAATAAGCGAATAATGGAAACTTATTGTAAATTAATCTGGTAACGACAGTTACGTCAAAGTCAAAATAACGGCGATTTATTTTCGAACAGCGAATACATGCGAATAGCAGTTGCCCATTTCCGTTTAGTTGGTTGTAGGTTTGAGAGCGTTCTGCTAAAACAAAGACATCACAAAACAGTTTGATAAACTGCTATTATTCATTTTGAATTTTCAATCATTTCGTGTAATTGAAGATGAAGGCTTTAAAAATTTGTTTCTGGGTTAAATCCTGCTTACCAGTTACCCGGTTACACTATATCTAAAACTATGATACCCGCTTTATACGCGGAATGTCTTGTAAACATGAAAAATCGAATGTTTTAACTTTTTTGGACCCTCGCTTTAAAGATTTAGGGTTTTCAGATAAAAACGCAAAGAAAATTATTATACTGGCAGTTTCGGAAAAGTATTGTACTCAAACTCGTGCAGAAATTGGTAAGTACTGAAGGCACTTTTGATGAAATAAATAGTTATCAATATGGAGCTGCTTTGACCAAAGCATAGCAGTCGCTCGACATATTGCCATTATTGAGGTACAAATGTTTCTTGAGGAAGAAATCACTACTGGCAGCAATGAAAGTTCAATAACTTCCCTTTTTTGAACGACTTTGACTTAGCGAGATAAAGAAATTAAAGTTTGTTTCGTCTAAATAGATGTTTTAACTTTGAAGCTCAAGCAAACTTCTTATGCATTGAGATCTCATCGACGGTGTTGGTTTTTTCCGGTTCAAAAAGTATTTGTTTTAACCCTTTGTGTCCCAAAAAGTCAAAAATTTTGAAAGTTTGTGACAGAATTAAAACGCTAGGCCTTTGGAATCAATTTTAGCAAAATATGCAATCCCCCTATTCCAGGGGGAAACAAATATAAATTAAATGGTTCAACAAATGTATTTGTTTCAAATGTCAGAAATATGTTTATTTAATTATTAGTTATAATTTACAGGAAACTGTAAATTTAATTTCTTTGACAACACTAAAAAATAAGTTTATTTTTAACTTTATTCTAAAACAATAAGAAATAGACCTGTCGAACCCTATATTTTTGTAATCAGAAAAAAATAACGAATTTAATAAGCGAATAATGGAAACTTATTGTAAATTAATCTGGTAACGACAGTTACGTCAAAGTCAAAATAACGGCGATTTATTTTCGAACAGCGAATACATGCGAATAGCAGTTGCCCATTTCCGTTTAGTTGGTTGTAGGTTTGAGAGCGTTCTGCTAAAACAAAGACATCACAAAACAGTTTGATAAACTGCTATTATTCATTTTGAATTTTCAATCATTTCGTGTAATTGAAGATGAAGGCTTTAAAAATTTGTTTCTGGGTTAAATCCTGCTTACCAGTTACCCGGTTACACTATATCTAAAACTATGATACCCGCTTTATACGCGGAATGTCTTGTAAACATGAAAAATCGAATGTTTTAACTTTTTTGGACCCTCGCTTTAAAGATTTAGGGTTTTCAGATAAAAACGCAAAGAAAATTATTATACTGGCAGTTTCGGAAAAGTATTGTACTCAAACTCGTGCAGAAATTGGTAAGTACTGAAGGCACTTTTGATGAAATAAATAGTTATCAATATGGAGCTGCTTTGACCAAAGCATAGCAGTCGCTCGACATATTGCCATTATTGAGGTGCAAATGTTTCTTGAGGAAGAAATCACTACTGGCAGCAATGAAAGTTCAANAACACTATCACTAAAACGAACACTATACCTAGAAATAGAATCATTTGGCTTTAGACGCACGTCTCTAAAGACGGCTAAACCCGAATGATTCTAGTTCTAGGTATAGTGTTAGTTCTAGTTTTACACTAACATTATCACTGAAACGAACACTATACCTACAACTAGAATCATTTGGGTTTAGCCGTCTTGAGAGACGTGCGGCTAAACCCAAATGATTCTAGTACTAGGTATAGTGTTAGTTCTAGTTTTACACTTGCACTGTCACTAGAACTATCATTTGACCTAGAACTAGAAACATTTGGGTTTAGCCTACGTCTCTTAAGACGGCTAAACCCGAATGATTCTATTTCTAGGTATAACAATGCATAACAATTAAAACTAGAACTAACACTAGACCTAGAACTAGAAACGTTTTAGTTCTAGGTCTAGTGTTAGTTCTAGTAGCAGTATCACTAGAAATGTCATTAATGTCAAAAATGACGTTTACTAAAGCTTTCTAAATTTTATTTATTTAAGGTTGGTCACATTGAAATGTCAAATTAAATGTCAAAAGTGACGTTTTAAATATTTAACATAAGAATTTAAATCTGATTTAACACTTTTTTTTTAAAAAAGCCATTGTCGCAAAGAGTTATTAAAAATCTTTAGTAAAATAGATTACCACGTTTTAAAAAGGAAAGAAAACATTGCTGTCCAGCGGTTTTTCTATTTCTTCACTTCTCATGTTCAATCTTTCTTCAAAATTTTCGGCCCATGTTTTAGGTCTTGTGTTAGTTCTCTAGCAATAATACTAGACCGAGAACTAGAAACCTTTGGGTTTAGCCGTGTGTCTTCAGCGAATGTCAAGTTGACGTTTAAAAGTCAAATAATAGTTTTACTTTTTGTACAGATCATTTTCCAATAACGGTGTTAATAATTTCATTCTAATAAATGTTACAGTTTTCCATTTTCCATCCAACTTTTTTGTTGAAATTTATTTTTCTTATTCTATTTATAACCCTTTTTGATTTTTTTAATAGTTTTGACATGCTTAAACGTCATTTTGACGTTTATATCGTTAAAATGGTACCAACCTAAGTTCTTGGAAATCTTTTGATAAATATCGAATATTTCATACCAGTTTTTTATAAATTTTTTTATTGATAGTAACATATTTCGTTAATTTTAGTATTTCTATAAGATTTTTTACATTAAATTATCTCATTTTAGAGTGTTTTGAAATTTACATTTTTAACGATATTGACGTTTAATTGTCAAATTGACGTTTAAAAGTCAAATAACAGTTTTACTTTTTGTACAGATCATTTTCCAATAACGGTGTTAATAATTTCATTCTAATAAATGTTACAGTTTTCCATTTTTTTCCAACTTTTTTGTTGAAATTTATTTTTCTTATTCTATTTATAACTCTTTTTGATTTTTTTAAATAGTTTTGACATGCTACAAATGTCTTCTTAACATTTAAACGTCATTTTGACATTTATATCCTTAAAATGGTACCAACCTAAGTTTTTGGAAATCTTTTGATAAATATCGAATATTTCATACCAGTTTTTTATACATTTTTTTATTTATAGTAATATATTTCGCTAATTTTCGTAATTTCCATAAGATTTTTTACATAAAATTAACTCATTTTTGAGTGTTTTAAGATCTATGTAGATTTTTAACGATATTGACATTTAATTGTCAAATTGACGTTTAAAAGTGAAATAATTGTGAGTCGTAAAGTTATTAAACTTAAAATTTATTATAAAAACTTTATTATTTAATTTTTTGTATTAAATCATTATAACTTAGCTCATTTGTATCATACGATACTTGAGGAACCACTAAAACTAGAACTAACACAGAACAGACTAGAACAAGAATCATTCGGGTTTAGCAGTATGTCTCTAAAGACGGCTAAACCCGAATGATTCTAGTTCTAGGTATAGTGTTAGTTCTAGTTTTACACTAACACTATCACTAAAACGAACACTATACCTAGAACTAGAATCATTTGGGTTTAGCCGCACGTCTCTAAAGACGGCTAAACCCAAATGATTCTAGTTCTAGGTATAGTGTTAGTTCTAGTTTTACACTAACACTATCACTAAAACGAACACTATACCTAGAACTAGAATCATTTGGGTTTAGCCGCACGTCTCTAAAGACGGCTAAACCCAAATGATTCTAGTTCTAGGTATAGTGTTAGTTCTAGTTTTACACTTACACTGTCACTAAAACTATCATTTGACCTAGAACTAGAAACATTTGGGTTTAGCCGTACATCTCTTAAGACGGCTAAACCCGAATGATAACAATTATTAGGCACAACAATTAATTATTATTAATGTCATTAATGTCAAAATGACGTTTTCTAAAGATTTCTAAATTTTATTTATTTAAGGTTGGTCACATTGAAATGTCAAATTAAATGTCAAAACTGACGTTTTAAATATTTAATATAAGAATTTATATTAAATTTGTTTGCAGTCCTGTTAGTCCTTGGACGTGTTGCATTTTATTTGGGGCCCTGATTTCTATGGAAATATATTTTTGTATATTGCTATTATTAATTTAATTTTTTTTAGCAACTTGATAGTCCATTTAAAGTGTTGGGTCTTTCAGCGAATCCGATCGTTTACGCCACAATTAAATTAATAATACTCTCGGCTCTATCAGCCGTTGTTACTGAACTCCTTGGATTTAAAATAACTTTAGACAAACTTAAATAAAATATAAATAATTTTATTGATATATGATAAATGTCAAAGTGACGTTTAACTTGATTGATTGATTTTAAACGTAATTAAAGTGAAATAGTAAAATTAAGTAATAATTTGGATCTCAACACTAAATGGAAATAATAAAAATAAGAATCGACCGTAATTGTTGTTTTAGATTGTATCTTGGAAAAGTTTTTTTGTTCGAATTAGAGCTTTAGATAAACCTCGCTCGTAGATTAAATGTAGACACTTCGAACATTCCCTACAGCTAACTTGTACTAGTCACAATAAGAATCTTTGTTCCTCTCCTAAAATAAGATTTATTAAGGTTAATCTCCAAATTTTACTTTTATTAAGTATTTTTTTGTTTGTTTCAAGGGAATGTTGGAAAGTTTTATTTTCTTTCATACAAATTGTGAACGTATCAAAATATGGCAGAAAGTAATTTCAATAAAAGTAAATGTTCTATTTTGTATAGAATAAAAATCTATACCGTAATTAATTAGTAATTAGCAAAATAAATAAAGTAATTAAAAATTTGATTTTTTTATTTATACTTTTCATTTAAAAATAATTAATTAGCATGTTGATTAATAAGAGCTTGAACTTCTTCGACATCTTCTTTAGATCCTAAGAAAATAGGGGATCTTTCATGGATACTAGTTGGGACAACATCTAAAATGGGAATTTTTCCGTTTGTTGCTAACCCCCCAGCTTGAGTTACAATAAACGCCATTGGATTACATTCATATTGGAGCCTTAATTTTCCTTTTGGTGCATCAGTCGTAATCGGATACATAAAAATCCCGCCATATTTAATAGTACGGTGAACATCCGCAACCATCGAACCAACATAACGAGCTCCATATGGTTTTCCTTTCGATGGATCCTTTTTATTTTTAACATATTCTTTAATCGCAGGTTCCCATTTATTCTCATAAGCCTCGTTGATTGAATAAATTTTTCCTCTCAAAGGAATTTTCATTTGCGACTCAATGAGAATAAATTCACCAATAGATGGATCCAACATAAACATATCAACTCCATTTCCTGTTGTTAAAACCATAACAGTTGCACTTCCATAAAGAGCATATCCAGCCGCTACCATCTTATTGCCAGGTTGTAATCCCAAAGAAGGAGATGGGGCTTCATCAGTTTCTTTACGGTAAATGCCAAAAATCGAACCAATCGATGCTAAACAATCAATATTCGATGAGCCGTCTAAAGGATCGAAACAAACTATGTATTTTCCACTTTGTTCAGCTTCAACCTAAAAAATTATCATTTAATTAAATTAATTAAATGTTAATTGTCATTTTTGACGTTTTAAACGTCAATTTAAAGTTATGTTATTTTTAAAATGAAATAATTTATTATTTAACCTTGAAATGACCTTTTAATCAAAGAATGTTGTAAAAAGTCTTTCACATGGTAATTTAAAACCAGGTTTTTACCTCAATTATATTTTCACAAGACCTAGAACTAAAATCATTCGGGTTTAACCGGCTAAAAATTATTATTACGGCTAAAAACGAATGATTCTAGTGTTCTAGTTTTAAATGTTGATTTTAATGCCAAAAATGACATTTAGATGACATTTTAAAGATTAAATTTACAATTTTCTTACAGTTTGACATTCCAAATGATGTTTCAACATCAATTCTTGCCACCAATTGACATTCTAACTGTCAAATTTGATGACTTAGCATCACACGAAGATTTTAATATCAAAAGTGACATTTGAATAACATCTTCAAGATTAAATTTATAATTTTCTAACAGTTTGACATTCTAATTGACATGTCAACCTCAATTTTTTCCAGCAATTAACGTTCTAACTGTCAAATTTGATTATTTTGCTTCACACGAAGATTTTAATGTCAAAAGTGACATTTGAATGACATCTTAAAGATTAAATTAACAATTTTTTTACATTTTGATATTCTAAATGACACGTCAACCTTAATTTTTGTTACCAATTGTCGTTCTAACTGTCAAATTTGATTATTTTGCATCACACGAAAATTTTAATGTCAAAAATTACATTTAGATGACATCTTAAAGATTAAATTAATATTTTTTTACAGTTTGACATTCTATATGACACGTCAACCTAAATTTTTGTTACTAGTTGACATTCTAACTGTCAAATTTGATGACTTTGCATCACACGAAGGTTTTAATATCAAAAGTGACATTTGAATGACATCTTAAAGAGTAAATTAACAATTTTTTTACAGTTTGACATTCTAAATGACACGTCAACCTTAATTTTTGTTATCAGTTGACATTCTAACTGTCAAATTTGATTATTTTGCATCACACGAAGATTTTAATGTCAAAAATGATATTTAGATGCCATCTTAAAGAGTAAATTTACAATTTTCTTACAGCTTGACATTCCAAATGACGTTTCAACATCAATTTTTGCCATTAATTGACGTTCTAACAGTCAAATTTGATGATTTTGCATCACACGAAGATTTTAATATCAAAAGTGACATTTGAATGACATCTTAAAGCGTAAATTAATTTTTTTTTTTACAGTTTGACATTCTCAATGACACGTTAACCTTAATTTTTGTTATCAGTTGACGTTCTAACTGTCAAATTTGATTATTTTGCATCACACGAAGATTTTAATGTCAACAATGACATTTAGATGACATTTTAAAGATTAAATTTACAATTTTCTTACAGTTTGACATTCTAAATGATATTTCAACATCAATTTTTGCCACCAATTGACGTTCTAACTGTCAAATTTGATGATTTTGCATCACACGAACATTTTAATATCAAAAGTGACATTTGAATGACATCTTCAAGATCAAATTTATAATTTTCTAACAGTTTGATATTCTAATTTACATGTCAACCTCAATTTTTCCAGCAATTAACGTTCTAACTGTCAAATTTGATTATTTTGCATCTCACGAAGATTTTAATGTCAAAAATGACATTTAGATGACATCTTAAAGATTAAATTTCCAATTTCTTACAGTTTGACATTACAAATGATATTTCAACATCAATTTCTGCCACCAATTGACGTTCTAACTGTCAAATTTGTTGATTTTGCATCACACGAAGATTTTAATATCAAAAGTGACATTTGAATGACATCTTAAAGATTAAATAAACAATTTTTTTACAGTTTGACATTCTAAATAACACGTCAACCTTAATTTTTGTTACCAATTGACGTTTTAACTGTCAGATTTGTTGATTTTGCATCACGAAGATTTTAATATCAAAAGTGACATTTGAATGACATCTTAAAGATTAAATTAACATTTTTTTTACAGTTTGACATTCTAAATGACACGTCAACCTTAATTTTTGTTACCAATTGACGTTTTAACTGTCAAATTTGTTGATTTTGCATCACACGAAGATTTTAATATCAAAAATGACATTTGAATGACACCTTAAAGAGTAAATTAACATTTTTTTTACAGTTTGACATTCTAAATGACACGTCAACGTTAATTTTTGTTACTAGTTGACGTTCTAATTGTCAAATTTGATTATTTTGCTTCACACGAAGATTTTAATGTCACAAGTGACATTTGAATGACATCTTAAAGATTAAATTAACAATTTTTTACATTTTGACATTCTAAATGACACGTCAACCTTAATTTTTATTACCAATTGACGTTCTAACTATTAAATTTGATGATTTTGCATCACACGAAGATTTTAATATCAAAAGTGACATTTGAATGACATCTTAAAGATTAAATCAACAATTTTTTTACAGTTTGACATTCTAAATGACACGTCAACCTTAATTTTTGTTACCAGTTCACGTTCTATCTGTCAAATTTGATTATTTTGCATCACACGAAGATTTTAATATCAACAATGACATTTAGATGCCATCTTAAAGAGTAAATTTACAATTTGACATTCCAAATGATATTTGAACATCAATTTTTGCCACCAATTGACGTTCTAAATTTGATGATTTTACATCACACGAAGATTTTAATAACAAAAGTGACATTTGAATGACATCTTAAAGAGTAAATTAACAACTTTTTTACAGTTTGACATTCTAAATGACACGTCAACCTTAATTTTTGTTACCAATTGACGTTCTAACTGTCAAATTTGATGATTTTGCATCACACGAAGATTTTGATATCAAAAGTGACATTTGAATGACATCTTAAAGAGTAAATTAACAGTTTGACATTCTAAATGACACGTCAACCTTAATTTTTATTACCAATTGACGTTCTAACTGTCAAATTTGTTGATTTTGCATCACACGAAGATTTTAATATCAAAAATGACATTTGAATGACATCTTAAAGAGTAAATTAACATTTTTTTTTTCAGTTTGACATTCTAAATGACACGTCAACCTTAATTTTTGTTACCAGTTGATGTTCTAAGCTATTTGTTAACTTATTCGTTAAGCTATGTGTAAAAGTTATCAATTAATTAATTAATGTTGTAATAAAAGTTGTTTAAGATAAGAAATTAATTAAATGAATTAAATTTAAATCGTCATTTTTGACGTTTTAAACGTCAACTTAAAATTATGTTGCTTTTAAAATGAAATAACTTATTTTTTAACCTTGAAATGACCTTTTAATCAAAGAATGTTATAAAAAGCCTTTCACATGGTAATTTAAAACCATGTTTTTACGTTTTACCTCAATTATATTTTCATTTTCTTCAGAGACCATCATACACGTTGTATAAGATGATTTAAGCATGTTAATAAACAGATCATTGGCAAGAACATCAAGTTTTTTAACTTCTTCCCCTTGCACATTCGTTTTTTCTGCCGTTCCAAATCTAATAAACCAAATAAACATTCAAAAATGACTCATAGTTATTATTTATTAAACAATTTCTTACAATTGTGTTATTCCAGCTTTTCTTACCGCGAAACTAATTACTTTTACAGCAGTTTGAATGGATGTTAAAAGCTGTGTTAAATCTCCTGTGGCATTTTTTGCCAATTTTTGTTGAGCCAGAACGTGCCTGGTCAACGTCATCGTATCAGACGAAATTGAAGGAATTTTCGACATTTTAATAAAACGTGTTATTCGCTTTCGAAGCGGATTAGATATATAAAACGACTGAGGCTCGCGAGGCTCGTTTTTCGACTGAGAATGTTAAGGCTAAATCACGACGTAATCTTCTAGTTCAGCAAGTTTTTTATTGGAGGAGCATTAGGTACGTCATCGTAAATATGATATGAAATAATATTTTATCAACAAATTCTGGTTAATTTATATTTTTTTAAAAAGTGTTATGCAAGAACCATAACCTATAACGTAATCTAAGACAATGAGGTTATGTTAATGTTAACCACACTTATTTATTTATTGATTCGATTAAGATTTCCTGTTTTTATTTTTTAAAATTTGTTTTTATTTAATTTATATTTACTTTTTTTAATAAATTAATTGCAATTGAATCAAAAAATTAATTTTTAAAACTATTATTTCCCAGCCATCTATGGGTTAATAATCTAATTCGTTTTTAATACAGATTCCTGTAATGTCTTGAAGTGGTGAACACAAATTTGATATCTTCCAGTATTTAACCATCTTCAAATACAAAATAAAGAACATTTTTTAGAAATTCTTTCCACTGGGTTATTTGCTTTCGAAGCGGAGGAGATATATAAAACGATTGCGGCTTAAAAACACTCCAAGAGAGTGAGTGGTTATTAAGAATTGAGATCAGCAAGGTTTTTTTTTATTAGAGGAGCATTAGGTACGTCATCTTAAATATGATATGAAATAATACTTTATCAACAAATTCTGGTTAATTTATATCTTTTTAAAAGTGTTATGCAACCTATTATGTAATCTAGGACAATGAGGTTATGTTAATGTTAACCCCGCTTATTTATTTATTGATTCGATTAAGGTTTCCTGTTTTTATGATTTAAAATTTGTTTTTATTCAAATTACATATACTTTTTTTGATAAATTAATAATAATTGAATCAAAAAAGGAATTTTAAAAAATATTATTTCCAAGCCATCTATGGGTTAATAATCTAATTAGTTTTTAGTACAGATTCCTGTAATGTCTTGAATGTGGTGAACACAAATTTGATATCTTCCAGTATTTAACCATTTTTAAATATAAAATAAAGAAATATAAGTTGTAAAAAATGCTTTATTAAAGCTTAATTTATCAGCATGATATAGAATGAATCAGTGTAGGTCAGTAATTTCTTAATATCACCATAGTTTCAAGAAATATTCAAAATTTTTGTCAGATTATGATTGATTTTTTTGATAATTTATATACAATTTAATTTTTTTTAACTATGGCAGATGAAGAAGGTGAACAACCAGCTGAAGATGCACCCCCTACAGAAGATGCACCACCTACAGAAGATGCACCACCCACTGATGATGCACCACCTATTGAAGATGAACCACCAGTTGAAGGTGAACTACCAGTTGAAGGTGAACAATCAGGTGAAGGAGGTGAGAAAGTTGAAGATGATGAAAATGCAGAATTAATCGAAGGAATTGAAGGAGATTCAAACACGTAATATTACTAAAATGACTCTAAAATAATCCTAATGTTAATTTTTTTTAGTGCAATGGCGAATTGTATTTGTGATCAACCAGATTTGTGGTATTTAAACCTTTTTTTAATCTTAAAATATCTCTTAAAACATCTCCCTCTTTATGCAGGGATGATGATGACGATGAAGAAGAAGAAGATGCACCTAAAAAAGTTATTGAGAATATAACAATGACTCGTTATTTATTAAAAAAACAACAAGTTGATGATGCAAGTGGTGAACTCACAAGACTTTTAATCTCGATTCAAACGGCTGTTAAATCAGTTAGTCACGCTGTAAGAAAATCAGGAATTAGCGATTTGTATAAACATGGAGAAAATATCAGGAAGAAAAAAAAATAAATATTTCTTTTTATATATTTAGATTTGGTGCGTATGGAACAAAAAATGTCCAAGGAGAAACTGTCAGTAAACTTGATAAACTAGCAAATGACACGCTTATTGATATAATTAAATCGTCTTTTGCTGTTTGTATGATTGTCTCTGAAGAAAATGATGAAATTATTGAAGTAATCTTTTTTAATTTATTATTATTATTATTATTAAAAGATTCGTTTTTAGGTTGAACCAGAACGAAGTGGAAATTACATAATTTGTATAGATCCATTAGATGGTTCAGCAGGTGTCGATAGTTTAACCACAGTTGGTTCAATTTTTGGAGTTTATCGCAAACAAGACGATGACCCACCGTCAGAAAAACACGTTCTTCAACCTGGCAATACTTTAGTAGCGGCTGCTTATGCACTTTACGCAAGCGGAACCATGATAGTTTTAAGCACCGGAAACGGAGTCGATGCTTTTATGCTCGATCCATCCGTAGGCGAATTCCTTTTAATCGATCAAAACATGAAAATTCCCGATCGCGGTAAAGTTTATTCAATAAACGAAGCTTACGAATTAAAATGGGAGGACGCAATAAAAGAATACATTCAAACCAAAAAAGATCCATCGAAAGGAAACCCTTACGGCGCCCGATATGTTGGTTCTATGGTTGCTGATGTTCATCGAACGTTGAAAAACGGAGGGATTTTTATGTATCCAGCTACTACTGATTATCCTAATGGAAAATTAAGATTACTTTATGAGTGTATTCCGATGTCTTTTATCGTTACTCAAGCAGGTGGATTAGCCAGTAATGGAGAAATGGATATTTTAGATATTGTTCCTAGTGAGAAACATCAAAGAGTGCCGATTTTTTTGGGTTCGAAAGGGGATGTTGCTGAATTTTTGGAGGTTGTAAGAAAATATAAAGGTCCTGATGATAATGTTGAAAATCCTGAGAATGCTGAAAATCCTGAGAATGCTGAAAATGCAGATAATCCAGAAAATGCAGATAATCCAGAAAATGCAGATAATCCAGAAAATCCTGAAAATGCTGATAATCCAGAAAATCCCGAAACCGTTGATAATCCAGAAAATGCTGAAGAATAAATATTTTAAATCAATTCTGTTTTTAAATTTGAAGTTTTACAAATACTATGGATGAAATTTTTATAAGTTTGGTAAGTATTAACTAGGGGTATTCCCCGAGTTGTCTATACAATTTATAAATCAAGAATGGTAGTTCTAGTTTTAATTGTTATTCACCGCTAGATTGTTATACAGTCTGTCCGTAAAGTAACGGATATAGCCGATCATTGTAAACGATTTATGGAAGAATCCCTGAAACGGGTCTAAAGATTTAAATTTTTTGCAATTGTTTAGTGTAGATTTTAAATTTTTTCCGCCATTTTTAAGCGAGTTATGACGTCATCGGTATTTTTTTCAAATGGCAATCCCCCATTTTTATTACGGAATATGAAATAAGATTTTTTTCTGAATCTAATACAGTCAATATTAATATTGCTTACATAAGAAAATTTTCGAGAAAAATTACTTTAAAGTTTAACTACTTCAGATTTGTTGAGATGATGAAAATAGCAGTAGCCATGAGTAACTATGGTAACCAATTATTTTAAACAATTTCCTAAGTGTCAAAAACTGATTTAGTGAGTAGTTGACCTCTTTAATACAACATATCCTGATCGCCAACTCATCTCTCGAAGCATTTCTCGAAGTCTGGCCTACTAAATGTTGCAAGAGAAGTTCAACAAATCGTGGTTTTGGCTGGGCAAGAAAACCCTCATGTTACTATAGGGAGTATTGGGTCTAATTTCGACATTAGTAAATCAACGGTTCATAAAATTTTAAAACCCGCAAAATATCATTCCCATAAAGTAAACCTGATTCACGAGCAATGTAGTTTCTCGTAGTTTTTGCAACAACAATTTTGCAACGATGACGAAGACTTTGTAAAAACATAATTTTTTCGACGAAGGGACATTTACATTGAGACAAGTAAATAGACAAAGTAGCACTACCCAAAATGCAAATTAGCCAAGAAAGTCGCACACCTAATATCCGCAAAAGATTTGAGGAAACCTTAACTGGAAAGAGATATTTACTTTTTTTCAAAGCGATGTCATTCCTTCCATCCCGATAATGTTGACACAACTCAATTCCAACGGCAATTATTCCAACAAGATGGTGCGCCACCATCTAGAAGCTTTACTAAATCAGTTTTTGACACTCAGGGAATTGTTTAGAATAATTGAGTGGTGTAGATGCAAAACTCACATTCTCCATTTTCTAAAGATATGGAGTTAAATATATCACCGTGTTGGTCTTGTTAAAGCGAATCAAATTCTGATAGCAGTTTACAGCAAAACTTACAGTTTAACACCACAAAACTATAGTGAAAATCGCGTTTTGAAACAAAAGTCACATTATCCAACAGTTGTTCTGCTACAAAATTCACATTCTCCATTCCAACCAGTCAC